ACTGTAACTACTAGGAAAACTTATAGAGGCATAAACCCCGGGGTCGATAGTGCATCGAAAATTCCAATATCGTGCGAACGGGTTGCTAAAAAACCCAAAAAGTTAGTCGATAGTACGCCCCTCAGTGTCCATACTTTAGACCACTCAACCCAGACACCACAGAGGAAGCAAGGCACCACCCATATTCCTAAAAAGACCAGTAAGTTAGTTAAGAATCGGAGAAAAAGACGCTCCAATGCTCGGTCAACACAGTCCAACGCCCAGAAACAGCATAAGGACGACCGTTTTGCCTGCTCGTCACCAGTCAAAACCAGCGACAATGCTTTCTGCAGTACATGGGTACATTGTCACTGCGACAATACAGTACCTAAAGAGTACTGCGGTTTCATGCTGAGTCACCCCTGCCCATGGTTTTGGTACATCTGCCCTCGGTGTAGAGTTTCTGAGGCACTGACAAACCCACAGGTCCCACCTAAAATCAGCCCCAAAGTCCAAACGACCAAACCAAAATCGCCTGGCACTAAACCGGTAAAACAAGTGACCAAGGCTACCACAACCCTGCCTAACTCACCGACAAAACTGCCGGTTGTTGTTAACCCCCCAGTATCTGCCAGAAACAGGAAACAATGGGTGAACGTGAAGAAGGGAAATAGCAACACCCCAACTCACAAGCAGCCTCCACCCAAGACCAGGGACGACCAATCTAACTCACTCATCTTATTTAATGTCCCAGTGTCGGAAGGAAGCTTGCTAGAAGGTAGGGCTGCCTTCGACAAAGAGCAATGGGATAAACTCTGCACAACCCTCGGAATGTGCGAGGTCCCAGCCAAAAAATATGTCGCCTTTTCAAAGGCCAAATTGTCTCGAAAGGAAAACCCCCTCCAATGAGGGTAACTCTTGACTCGGCACGACTTGCTGAAGACATAATCCTTTCATCCCAAAGACCATCGGTCAAATTTTCCTCGCTGATTCGTATCAGGCATGACAAGCCGTGGTCGGTACGTGCAGCAGCCGAAACTGCGCCAGACACCCAAGAAGAGACCACCATGGTAGTTCACGGTATACCCGAACTTACCAGCGGTAACCCGGACGAAGCACGCGAGCACGATGTGCAACAGTGACGATGGCCATCGCGTAGCCTACCACTCCACACCACGATGGCAGTCTGCATTTCCAGGTTGCCCCGCCCGTCACACCTTACGTCTATCAAGTCACCACGTCTGATGGCTGTAACACTTGGGAACCGAGATGACCGAAACACTACAAGCTTGGTAAAGTTCGAAGAACGATCTGCCTAGCCACATCAGATGTTGTGAGAGCCGACCTAGATCTGTGAGACAACAACAGGGAGGCCAAAATGAACGTACAAAACTGATAGTTAAACTCGGTCAGCTACCTCTGGCACAAGATATGAGTGAACCAACCGCGCAGGCAAAAAACCTGCAGAGGCCAGTTCCCACAGAACTGTCCGATTCGGTTTAAATAACTTGTCTGAAAACCCGACAAAGGCTGCTGCTGCAAACGTGCACCAGGTGCTGAGAAAAACCACCAAGTGCCTCTATAGAAACGTAAGAGGACTAAGGGGTAAGCTGTTATAAATCAGGAATATGTGCTCTCAGATGGCACGAAATACTTGATTGGAGGGATCTACCGCCTCCTTCGGGTACTAAGGCCCAGAAAAGCAAACTGATTGAGGTAATACTGCAACTGCCACTCTTAGGGTTTGATCAAATACTCTTAGCTGGAGATTTCAATACCCAATCTTTAAATCTCAGCAATCAGAGTATAACTCCCACTGGTTGGTTCCAAAGACAACTTGGTACAGCCATTAGAAGCTCTGGTCTGACTGAGCACGTACGCAGCGCCACTAGGTGGACTGAGGAAGGGAAATCCTCAAACCTAGATTATCTGTTAACGAACGACCAGATACTGGTTGAGGATGTTCACATCCGCGCTCCAATAGGTAGTAGTGACCATGGCACAGTCCTGTTTAACATGGTCACAAACGAAACGCTGACACCGGACGATAACGAGCCTTACCTTTGCTACAGTAGGGCAAGCTACACACGCATGAGAGAGGTCCTCCTACATGCCCCATGGTCACGGGAGTGGTGGAGGCTGACAGTAGATGATCACTGGCAAGCAGTGAGAGATATCATCTAAAACGCTGTCGTAGACAACGTAACTCAATCACACCCAAGACGCCAGAACAGAAGAACCTGGGTTAGGCGCGGCACTGAACGCTTGCTGCAGGCTAAGAGGAAAGCCTGGCACAAGTGGAAGGTCTCCTTGAAGGATTCCGATCGCAGTTCTTACTTGGCGTCGAGAAACAGGTGCGATACCGAAGTTCCAAGCGACAGGAGACAATTCCGAACGGGGAAGACCTCACCAACCTAGAGATGGCCGAGATCTTCAACACTAACTTTTTCGATAAATTAAACCAGGCGCTCACATGTTCAGAGTACTACGCCAACCCAATGCCAGCTGACGGCTTAGGGAACATCCGTATCACTCCTGACTTAGTACTAAGGAAACTAAAATTCCTACGCCCAGTTAAGTCACCAGGTTGTGACGAAATTCGCCCCATAGTCTTGCAACAATGTGCTGAGGTCCTCTGTTTTCCGATATGCGACCTGTTCAGGGATTCACTGGAGTCACACCAATTACCAGCGGAATGGAAACATGCTACTCTCTCTCCAATCTTCAAAGGAGGAGATAGAAAGGACCCAGCCTGTTACAGACCAGTCGCACTACAACCAATATTATCAAAGGTTATGGAAGGACTAGTGGACGAACAAATGAGGGAGTACATGGATAAGAATAAAATTCTCCATGAAGCTCAACACGGGTTTCGGAAAGGCAGATCTTGTGCATCTAATCTTCTCGTCGCATCGGACAGTTGGATATCCTGTTTGGACCATAAAATACCAGTGCACGTAGTATTTCTCGACTTCGCAAAAGCCTTTGACACAGTGCCCCACGCACGCCTAATCGAAAAGGTTGTGGAAATGGGCTTCACTGAGCCACTCGTATCTTGGCTCAGAAACTACCTTGAGAATAGAAAGTTTCGCACCAAGGTAAACAGGGTGCACGCGCGTTGGAGAGTATCCACTTCAGGAGTTTCACAGCGGACCATCCTAGGCCCACTCCTCTTCCTGATATTTATTATCGACCTGTTAGGCTTAGTTAGCTCACCGGCACTGATCTACGCAGACGATGCGAAGATCTGGAGGTCCATTAGAAGCGAAGAGGATTCGACTGAGCTTCAAAAGGACCTTACATCCATTGAGAAATGGGCAGTGAAAAACGGTTTAAAACTCAACCAACCGAAGTGCCACGTCATGCATTTCCTGCCTCATATGACGCAAACGACCTACACTCTCAATGGAAGTCCGCTCCCTAATGTCTCCTCAGAGCGCGATCTTGGTTTAATGACCACAGAAAGCCTCCACACGAGTCCGAACTATGTAGGGGATGCATCCAAGGCAAATGCGACTCTTCACTTTATGCGAAGACAGCTTGGTACTATCACCCCGAAATTATTTTTAACCCTGTTTAATCCGTACGCGCGCCCACACTTGGAGGTTCACAACGTCATCGCACCCCCTCTGCTTAAAGGAGATATAAATCTCTTGGATGGAGTGCAGAGACGAGCAACCAGATGGGTGATAGGGTTGCAAAATAAACCCTACGACGATAGACTCTAGCTCTTGGGATAATTTCCACTGAGCTACAGGAGAATCAGAGGTGATCTGATTATGGCGTACACCATATTAAACACGCCAAACCATCCCAATGTGAGCATCTTACCGATGCATCACCACCACTCCCCTCAAGGCAATCCTCCAAAGATTGCACATCAAGGAACAAATACTCAGATTCGTGAACACATTTTCTCATTGCCAGTCGTCGCAACTTGGAATGCTCTTCCAGCCGAGGTAGTTACAGCCCCCTCAGTGGACTGCTTTAAGAAGAGACTTGATGATCACGTACTCACACACGGACTATCATCTCCCTCTTGGACAAGCTGTTCATGATGCTTATCTTGAGACCTGCTAGTCGTTATCATTGCCATCTCCTCCTCTCATCTCTTTTCCCTCCCCCTTGCTTACGCTACGGTCCTCTCTCACAATCTTCAACTACCAATCAACAAACTAAATTCATCCATATAATAATCAGTTCTGAAATTTTATTTATATTATCATTAGAACTTCATCCTTATTACCCTTATTACTCTCCAAATCGCAACTAACTGATCTCCGGTGTGGTAATGTGATGGCTGCTAGTATCCAGAAACCCTACTGCTCTGAAACAAACGTTTTCATTCAAATCCTGAGACATAAAAACTGACAACCAACTGCCAACTGACTAGAATTAGACAGTCGAGTGGCTAGACCTCCATCCATTGGACATTACCGAACACCTAAAAACGTAACGAAAGAACAAGAATCGAGCTCGAAGAAATCAAATTGGTTTACACTAGCTCGTGAAAAAGATATTGGATATTGGAACCCTTTCCTCTTATTTCTCTAGTTTAGAACCTCATCCTACGCTTCAGATATTAGCCTTGATACTGAGAGAGACTTGGTTGCTTTACCCAGGTCTTTCAAATTATTATCTGACTAATGCCGTTAGGAAAATCATTACACATCTACCTCATCACTTCTTGTTATGCACGGACCCGGATTTGACTTGCATTTATTCTCAGCCAGCAGTTGTTCGTCGCAGCGCAACCGAAATAACTCGCACCATTTATTGTATTGTACATCTCAAAGCCTGAAACATTATTTACAATCCTATGTGAAATACATTAGCCACAAATAGAAAGCCGGTGTATCTTGTGAAATATTTATTTAATTAAACAATTTCAACGACTAGGTCTTGCATTTATATTGGTATGCCTCATGTAACACGCTGTTATTTGAGAATAAAGTATCATGATTATTGACAGTAAACACGCTTACTGGTTTATACTAGAAAGTAAAAAGGATACAGGATAGTGGATATTGAGGTAGCGCGTATGTTAAACGTAGCGCTGCGATCCCGTAGTTTAGATTACCAGTGTCTTAATTTAATGCTTGTATTATTTCTGACTGCTGTCGATATCTTTAATAAATATATGTAAGTGCATTTCATGTTATTATTAGGTCTTTGGCTTACATTTCCTTCGTTTCTCTCTTTCACGTAAACTTGCACGATGCTGCTCACATTCTCAGCATGCAAACTGTCTTCAGGTTGATCACAAACAGACCACAGACGGAAGGTACACGTAATGAAACGGTTTGAAATCTTCGCACTGCCCTCTCTTGATTTAACTGAACAGATTCTCTAAATCTCATGCTTGCGTAGTAACTAATTTTATTTATTATATATATTATATATATATATATATGTATATACATGATTATACATTCATGTTTAAGTTATCCAGGACCTAAAACTACACCCACTCATAGAACTGCTTCAGTATTGCTAGTTTTATGCACTGGCAAAGGCCACTCTGTGGGACGTGACTAAATGGTTGCTTCCAGTACATGGATTTCTTATTGTATAGTCCCATGATGTCAGTCACTTTAGCAGGTAATTTTACCACAGCTTTACGCTTGGAATTCTGTGAATTTCAAGGTGTCTAACAAGCATTAGGTCACGTCTTTTGCACAGAACATGCAACATTATTTAAACGCAAAACTTAGTTATGTTCTTTGTACTGGAAATATAATAGGATCACTAAGAAGTCGTGTGAAACTCAGCCATTGAAGTTATGGTTTTTAGTGTCGGAATGTTTTTTGTGCAATAATTATTTCATTAGTCATTGCATCTTGCAAATTTACCAGTATCATATTTGGTATTCATATAGATAAAACTACCCACCTGACGCAATTCTCTGACATTCAATGTTATTCTTTCTTGTCCTAAATACTTTCCCATCGCCTTATTATAAGTTGCTCTGAATCAAGCATTGTCATAATATGGAAAATACGAACGTAAAAAGATCCCGACGTTTTAACCCTTTTAATGGGAATGTTAATGAACACTATAGTGTTATATCCTCTCTGTATGATGGTAAGTTATTTATAAAAGTAATCATACCTAGACTTTTATAGTTTCACCCGTCAAAAATCCAAGAGAAAAAGGGTTCTTAGAATTTCTATCTAGTGATTACTTCAGCTTGCCATTCGTAAGTTCATTACTTTTCACCCAAATGATTAAATATTTGAAAATACTAAGGTTCATTTTTATAGTCTCAAGTACTTACGGACTTATTTTGATCATTTTTAGGAACACGTTAATGAGAATTCATCAGTGGAGGAGTTAAAGGATGCAATCTTCAACTGCAAACACATGTTCTTGGCTTTGTCTAACGAGTCATCGGATGGAAAAGCTCGCTTACTAGATCGGTTGATTGAATTACGGAGGATTTTACAGGATGTTAAGGTGCGGTAATATCGATTGCTACTATGTCAATTAATATTGTTCGTTTTTGACTTAGAATCTGCCGATGACATAGTACTATTTTGTAAAGACTGACCAAATGCATTCTCTCCCGACCGTAGCTGCTACCTTGACGTGGTGGTCGGGCTTGCCTATCGTGATGACCCAACCGAGCTATACTGGCTGGAACATATGTTCCTGCATGTCCTACCATGCCAGGCAGGTCGATTGGAGAACGATGAGACTAAAAGCAGCTACCCAAGGTCTGACGGCGAAGTCGTACTGCTGACTTCATAGGGGTGTGACAGCAGTAAGGTGTTTCCCTCGTACAACCAGCATCTGCAGCGATGCTGCCTTCTCACAAGGAAGGAAGGGTTAGAAATGCTCGACCATAAAAATGTCACACCTGACCCTACCTTACGGATTTCCGTCTCCGGCGGTAAGGGTACCCACTAAGGGCCTTTAAGAACGGAGCTAATCCTCAAAAAACCTTTCATAAAAAGGCCGTGCGTGACCGGCCTCAAGCAGTTATCCCTTGGACTCTGCGGTCACGCACCCAGTTATCTCAGACCAACACTAATCTACTTTCCTTTTCAGGTCCCTCAAGAAACAACCTTCCACGGTGTGGGCGACCGGGAAGTGACAACCGCTCTCATATGCGTACCAGCACACGAGCTTTTTGAAGGAGGTCCGAAGGCTTTCTGTAGAACTCATCTTTCACCTCGTCTGAACTGCAGTCAGTGGGGGCATAGGCAGATACAACGAAGAGGCAACGGCGAGTGTCCCTATCTTTCCGAGTCCTCACTGTCCCGTTTAGTCCGACGGCGCACAAGTGACTGTCTGCTAGGATCCAGTCTAGGAGAGATAGTTCTGCCCTAGGACTCAGTGCTATAAGTACGCCAGCAAGGCCCCAGGAAGCAGAATCAGGGCTTCCAGATACACGAAGGGTAAATCGAGTTGCTTCTTTGTCTTCACATGGTGACGTTTAATGAGTGACCCTACTCGGATCCTGTGTGCGCGTTTCCGAGACGCAGCATACATCGATTGAGCGAGATTCTAATGTTCTAGCTAATGATGTCTGAGAATCGGGTTTCAGGAGACCAGAAATGACGTTTCGTGAACTCGCATCGTTTGCATTAGCGGCGCAGTGAGAAAAGGGAGTGTGAGTACAGTTAGTCGTTGAGATAAGAGAGGTATTAGGGGGTGTAGAAAGGATTTGATTTTGACCAATTTGGTCTCGTGTGCTGGTACGGGTATGAGGGCGGTTGTCACTTCCCGGTTGCCCACACCGTGGAAGGTTGTTTCTTGAGGGACCTGAAAAGGAAAGTAGATTAGTGTTGGTCTGAGATAACTGGGGGCGTGACCGCAGAGTCCAAGGGACAACTGCTTGAGGCCGGTCACGCACGGCCTTTTTATGAAAGGTTTTTTGAGGATTAGCTCCGTTCTTAAAGGCCCTTAGTGGGTACCCTTACCGCCGGAGACGGAGATCCGTAAGGTAGGGTCAGGTGTGACATTTTTATGGTCGAGCATTTCTAACCCTTCCTTCCTTGTGAGAAGGCAGCATCGCTGCAGATGCTGGTTGTACGAGGGAAACACCTTACTGCTGTCACACCCCTATGAAGTCAGCAGTACGACTTCGCCGTCAGACCTTGGGTAGCTGCTTTTAGTCTCATCGTTCTCCAATCGACCTGCCTGGCATGGTAGGACATGCAGGAACATATGTTCCAGCCAGTATAGCTCGGTTGGGTCATCACGATAGGCAAGCCCGACCACCACGTCAAGGTAGCAGCTACGGTCGAGACAATAGTTGTCTTCCTGGACCTTATGGCGGCATTTGACTCTGTGGGTCGTGAGGTTCTGTGGCAGTGTCTGTCATTGAAAGGTGTACCAAAAAAGTACATCAACCTTATACAAGCTCTCTACTCGAACACCACTGGTCGAGTGAGAGCCTATGGCGAACTGTCATCGGAATTCTCTACATCAAGTGGTGTCCGTCAGGGATGTCCACTCTCTCCATTCTTGTTTAACTTTTTCGAAGACATCCTCTTGGAGTTATCATTGAGCTCGTCAGAATTTTCAGGGGTTGACTTTCTGCCAAGAAAATCGCTTTTCGACTTGTAATATGCCGATGACATAGTTATACTTGTCGAAGACTCTGACAAAATGCAGTTTTCTGACTATCCTAAGCAACATTGCAAGCTTGTCCGGGGTTTAGCAATTGATTGTTGCGTCTCTGTGCTAATTTGGTATGGAACATGAAATGATGTACTTAAGTACGAGGTTCTTCGTTGCTGCTGACTGACTGACTGATATGACATGGCCTTGGTAATTTAAATATAAGCCGGTTCACGTGCTGCTGCTTATCTGTCATGCGGTTCGCCAACACATCTAAAGAACTTATCAAATCAATCACAAATTCGTTGTATGTATACTGTCAAGAACTGCAAAGTGGGTTATAAAGTTGAGATGCAAACGGAGCATTCACAGTACGCCAGTCCTTTCTTGGAGCGCTAATAAAAACAGTTCATTTAGGGGTTGCTTAATGAGAAAGAACCATCTCAGTGAGAGATATTCTTCTTGCTTATGTAAATAATATAAATGAAATCTACATCGGGACTGCCACTGGTTTCTATTCTTTCACATTTGAATGTAGAAACACATGTTCTACTTACGGACCCTGACTGCAAACTGATTAAATGCGGATTGTACAGTAACACAACACCCATATATTCAAGGTCCCAAGATAGTTGCTACATAGATGACGTGGTCCTTTTTTAAAGATAGGGACGACTATTGACTAATTCCACGATGTTAGAACTCTAATTGAGAAACGGTTATAAACAACTCAGTCAGTCACATAATCAGAAGGTCACCACTATCTTTAAAAAGGGTTAGGAGTAAGTTGTCGAGGCCTGGTGATTTTTAGCGTTTCAACAGTTGGGGTTCCTTGTAGACTTCCACCTGATTAGACTTATCAGATGTCACCGGCTATGGGAGACAGGACAATCTGGCCGATGTCTCTGGAGAAGCAGACCAGCTGAACTGTTTCTGCAAAAAATCTGTCTGTCGTCCAACACGTCAGTGGATGTTATTGATTGGTGTCCCATCAGCTTCACAGATTGTTTCGCCTACGCCATACGTCTTGCTGCCAATGGTTCTCATGAGTTGAACGAGATTCCAGCAGGCGCTAGACGTGGCCACTATTTTCAACTCTTTATCGTACTCCGACCACTGGGTTTCTCAGTCCTCAAGTTTACTTAAAAAAGGAGTGAACTTTGTGAAAGTTCGTAAAAATGGCAGCGCTAAGGTCATAACGTTGTTTTTGTTCTGTAATACGATGTGTCTATAGAATTGAAAGTTAATCCATCCGATTGATGCAATCATGAACTGACTCATTTAATTGATGTATGATCAGAAAGTCGAAATTACTTAATACCGAGTTTTTCTGTATATCATGTCTCAGTAAATAATGATTCAAACAATGCAGTTAACGTTTTTGTCTAAAACTTAATAAGCTGCGCAATATTCTAGTCCATTCCGCAAATTTTCAATCAGAACTCCAGGAATATCAGATACTGAATCTAAGATTCTTCTAACTTTAAGCTTCCTTTTATTTCTTGGATGCTCTACTACTCCTAAATACCCAAGATTTACATTTCATTTCTTGTTCACCTATGCGTTACCTTTTTAAATTTTTTCAACTTCATAGGAGTTCTCAGACACTTCGACAAAACCAAGTTGGTGTTCTTTTGGATCTGCACCTTCAATTTTTCCAAATCGATCATTATTATCACGCAACTTATTTCAGGTATCTCTACCAAGCTTGCCCCGGTTTATTAGTCCAGAAGGTTCCTGTTCATCTATAAACCATACTTCACTCTCTGGTGGCCATGACTTCCGAAGGGTTTCTGTGGTTCGTTATCTGGGAGAAACTTGTGAATGTTGTGGACATATAATTCGTCGTCCGGCTGGTAAGATATTATGTTGTCGGACATGTGGTGTTATGTGTCATTTTGATGGGTGTCTTGATAGTTTAACACGTCGGTGTCCAGGTGCATTAATTTTACCCAGTACTACAACCAAACACCATTTGGGATGTCGGCGTTTTCGGACAGAAAGTGAAAGTGGTACTCACAACAAACCGAAGTTACATCCTGTTGGAGTTACCTTATTGGATACTAGACATCGTATTTCTTTTAAACATTTGGAGGTTTCCAATCTATCTTTCCTTGCAGCAGATCTGACTTTGCAATCATGGACTTGTGCAGAATGCCTGAGACCCATTTACTCTACATCATCGAATTCAGCTTTGTCAGAACATTCGAATACATATATCCCCAGTAAAACCACCAACAAAGTCCTTGAAACGGGTATTGGTCTACTCGTTGGAAAAGCTTTTGAAGATATATTACCAAAACACAACTCTATGTATCATATGATGTCTCAGCCAAATTCTCGACAGTTTTCTTTACCTACCTCTTTATTCAAACCTATTTCTGCAGATCCATTTGTAGTAGAATCCAGTCAGTCAACTGATAACTCTAATCACTACTCTGTTTTTCCTTCGCGTACCACTTTCGAACCGATCCAGACATGGTATGATGCGCGTGTAATGGAGGCATTTAGAAAAGTTGGTTCTCGAATCTCATCATCCCCATTTATTAAAACGCAAAACGGACACTTAAAAATAGAAAAACAAACAAGTGACTTAAATATATTAGAGAATTATGCTGCAGACACTTCGTGCACTATGGATGCTGCCCGTTTATGCTACTACTCGGGATATTTTTATTGTTCTAGGTGTCATTGGGGAGACACTTACCAAATTCCATCATGGATGTTTGTTCTGGGTGATTATAAACCCAAACCGGTGAGTCTTGAATTTTCCCATCCTCACATTCGATCCAATAAGTTCTTTCTAACAAATTTGTTTAAAAGACGAGAGAGCGCTTGCGACATTTGTTTTGTTAATGCTTCCGATCCTACTAAATTCAAAAAACGTTTTCCCAGTCGTGTGCAATTTGATCAGATGAATAATATCAGTTGCGACAGATTGTTTACCGAACTGCTAGATACTCAAAAACTCATCCCATCTAACTCTAAAAATGATGAGCGGATTGAGCTTAAGCGCAGGCTGATAAAATCTACGCAGTAATCACGAACAGTGGTGGGTAGTGAAAGCAAGAGCGATCAAAAAGGCAGCAGCGGTAGGTAACAATAGACAGCTGTTCCTATTTATCAAGGTAACCGTTTTTATGAATCCGACTGTGAGACTATCTCGAAAGAGGATGGAACAATTATTCATTCTCAACCCAAGAGATTGGATTGATAGGCAGAACACTTCAGGGATCAATTCAATTGGCCATCAGCCACAGTTCGGTTGCCTACGATCTCCAGTCCACCTGAATGGCAAATCAATATAAATTCTCTGAGTCTTTGTTAAGTTGAAAAAGCTTTAGGAAATCTGAAGCAAAGAGCAGCTGGATCTGACAGGTTAACCCCTGAGATTTTTAAGGATGGTGGTCCAGTTTAACAGTTAGATTGACTCAGATTCTAAGTAGGATCTGGGAATTGGGAGTAGTCTCATCTGACTGGTCTCAATCACTGCTTGTCCCAATTTATAAGAACGAACAAAAGTCCTCTTGTGACAATCACAGAGGAATCAGTCTAACTAATATGGTGTCGAAATATATTAGCCTCGATTATGCTTGGACTCCTGACTAGGTCGTGTGAAGATCAGACTTAAGAAAAACAGGCTGGTTTCAGACCTGGACATGGATGTATAGACCACATATTCACTAGTTGTCAGGTCCTGTGACGTAGACGCACATTTCGACTTCCCAATATAGTTGTGTTCCTTGACCTCAAAGCGGCAGTCGATCCTATCGATTGTGAGATTCTGTAGCAGTGTCTGTCATTTGAACGTGTACCAAATAAGTACATTGGCCTTTTACAGACTCTCTACTCGAACACTACAGGTCGAGTGAGAGCTTATGGTGAACTGTCATCAAAATTAATTACTTCAAGTGGTGTTCGTCAGGGCTGTCGACTCTCCTCATTCTTATTCAACTTTGTCCTAGATATGCATTTGGTGATAACATTATCTTTGTCTGAATTTGCAGGAGTTGAACTTTTACCGGGATACTCACTTGCCACTTAGATGACATAGTTCTGTTTAGTGAGTGTGCTAACTGTGCAGCAGTTCTCTCCGTCCTACTGTATGGTTGCGAAACATGACCGTTAAGAGTAGAGTATGTTTTTAGGTTACTCGTTTTCGACTACAGGTATCTTCGAAGCATTGCTCTTATATCCTGCGACTACCGAATAAGCAATGCTGTTTTTAGGAAACGGGTACTAAGTAAGGATGGCAGATCAATAGATGAAATCTTTAGACATGGCAACTCCCAATCCTCCGAAGGTTGGTGTAGGAGTACGTTGGAAGAAAGTTAAGGACGGTCGAACCAAAACATGGCAGAAACCCATCAAGTCACTGAGAAGTGGGCTGAGCCATGTTGGTAAGTGTCAATTACATGGTTGGGGTCCGCGAGACGAAAGTCACCGATGGTTAGAAGAGACATTGAAAGACATGACTTAAGATCGTTTGCAATGTTGCAGTTGTATCCATTCTTCGCCTTCTGTCACACCCTAATCCTCTAAATTCCTCACCACCTCTTTCTTTTTCTTAAATCTATTTCACTGAATTATATTTGAATAACTTCTTCGAGTTGGATTAGAATTGACGATTGCGTCTCTGTGCAACTGGAACTGATGTACGTACGTACGAAGTTCTACGTTGTTGCTGACTGAATGTTGGTTCACTGATAAGTCAGACGTTCCAATGCAACCATAATATTTTTCCAGTGAAAAATTACTTTTAACCCGCTGGTTTTTTTTATTCGCATGTAACTTCCTTTTATTTTTCTCAATCTTCAGGTTTAAAGAAAACGTTACTAAAGATAAGCAGTTACTCTAAATCGTCTTCACTTTTTAAATAGGTCTGTCGAACCGCGTACCTGTGGCTGAATTATGCTTGGTCACGTCACTTATTTCGCGTCCCTTTATCATGGTATTACCATGAGCCTTTGGCTCGACAAGTATTTTCTATTCGTACGAGGATTTTTAGACTACAACCATATTTCAGTATATGTTCAGATGCCAAAAGTTACACGTTTGATTTTGAAGTAAGTGTACTTATCTTTTGCAAACTAGAAATTATCAGTTAGCCATTGAGTAATAACAACTTCAGCTAAGGAATATCTTTTTTTCAATTCACTTTAATTGTCGCTCAATAACAATTGATTTTTATAATTGACAATATAACCAGACAAATCAACCAGTGGCAAGTTTGTTAACTGTCCAAGAAAAATTTCAGAATTATTTACAAAAAGCAACAGATCTGGTACGACGAGTTTGCTCAACCACTCGAAATGCTCACATAAGACAACACTTATGTAACTACCGCATGACAAGTCCTACTCATTGCCTTCTCGTGGCGAGGATTTTGTTCATGAAATTGAGGGGGCCAAAAGCGGTTTTTCGACAAGGCTTAAGTTGGGTTGGTGAGTTAGGAGGATTCACCAAACGGATTCGGAAAACCCTGATCCCAAACCAGTGGTCCACACTAACTTCGGCATCCTGAGGGAAAAAATGACGTTATGAACCTACTGTTGGTCATCGGCTACCATAAAACTACATCTTACGTTGTTTCATTGCCTTGTGGATTAGATTTGTGGATCAAAGGCTCAGGTTGTGATCCCTCTAAGAAAATCACTAAAACTTAACCATTGAAAAGTTACTTGACGTTTCTTTGTCTCTATAGACTTTTCTAAAAGATATTTCTGGGCTCCCCAACAGCCAAGAGTTGGGAAAAACATTGAGCTAGTTGAACCTCAGAGTATGAAAAATCCTCACCATTCCAGTTATCAGAATAAATCCATTACAATAGATTTTTAAAAATTACTTGAATGAATAAACATATTAAAGGCCGGTTTATAATCTGTTCCATTTTTTACCATCCAAATGGTTCAAATTTTTCTTAAAAAAAATGTAGTTTATGAGTCCTCTTATAAGATATATTGATTAGCTTGGTCAATTGCCTAAATTAGAGAGAGAGACAGAGACAGATACAACGCAGAACTTCGTACGTAAGTACATCAGTTCAGGTTGCAATGCCCCATCAGCACAGAGACGCAACTGTCAGTTCAAATCCAAGAGTGATAGCAATAATAGAAGTATTAGCAGTAATGGAGATAAGGGAGCGAAGATTTGATTCGAGAAGTATAATTTAGTGAGGTAAATCTAGAAGGAGATAGAGATTATGAGAAATTCAGAAGGTTGGAATTAAAAAGCACACAAAGAGTGGATACGCGTGCGCCATTGCAAACGGTTTTGAGCCATGTCGTTCAATGTCTCTAACCATCGGTGACTTTCGTCTCGCGGACCCCAACCAGGTAGCCTACACCTACCAACATGACTCAGTCCACTTGTCAGTGACTTCATGGATTTCTGCCATGTTTTGGTTTGGCCGCCCCTAACTTTCTTCCAACCTACTCCTACACCACAAAACATGGTTCGTCGCGGCAGTCAGTGGTTAGGCATTCGTAATACATGTCTCAACCACCTCAACTGATGAAGTTTCACTACTTCCTCTATTGATTTGCCATCCCGAAACAGAACTCGTTTCCTAATAACAGCATTGCTTATACGGTTATCCCACGATATACGAGCAATGCTTAGGAGACATCTCTGATCGAATACTAGTAACCTACGAACATCTTCCACTCTCAACGGCCATGTTTCACAGCCATATAGGAGAACGGAGCCAACTACTGCCCAGTACACTCGTCCTTTGGTCAGCAAACGGATATCTCGCCTACGCTACAAGTGGCGCAGGTCTGCAAAAGCCAATCGAGCCTTCTGTATCCGTGCTGAGATTTCGTCACAAACAGGCCATCAGCATTGATGAGACTCCCAAGATAAGTGAAGTGGTCAACACGTTCGACTACTTCACTCCCTATCACCAATTCACGTATCGACGCAAGCCAATGCTGAAGCAACATTTTGCATTTCGAGGGTGAGAACCGCATCCCGAATGTGCTTGGATTGTTGCTTAGGGTGGTCAGAAGACTGCATTTTGTCAGCGTCTTCACCAAGTAGAACTATGTCATCGGCATATTCTAAGTCGATAAACGAGCCATCTGGTAGGAGGTCTTCTGCTGAAAATTCAGACGAGGATAAGGTTATTTCTAAGAGCATGTCTATGATAAAATTAAACAAGAATGGGGAGAGTGGACATCCCTGGCGCACACCAATTGAAGTAAAGAATTCCGGTGACAGTTCGCCATAAGCTCTCACTCGACCAGTGGTGTTCGAGTAGAGAGCTTGTATAAGGTTAATGTACTTCTTCGGTACACCTTTCAATGACAGACACTGCCACAGAACCTCACGATCCATTAAGTCAAATGCCACCTTAAGGTCCAGGAAGACATCTATTGTAGGACGTCTAAATGTGTCTCTGTGTTCCAGGACATGTCATTATGTGAAAATGTGGTCTATACAGCCGCGTCCAGGTCGAAAACCAGACTGGTTTTCTCGAGTCTGCTCTTCACGAGCTCTAGTTAGACGTCTAAGTATAATCGAGGCTAACAACTTATAAACTATATTAGTTAAACTTATTACCCTGTGATTGTCACAGGAGGACTTTTGTCCTTTGTTATAAATTGGGACAATCAGGGATTGAGTCCAGTCGGATGGGATTACGTCCAGATCCCAGATCCTACCTAAGATCTCAGTCAACCTAGCTGCTAAAACTGGACCACCATCTTTAAATATCTCAGGGGTCAATCTATCAGCACCCGCTGCTCGCCCTCACTCCAGATTTCCTACAGCCTTTTCAACTTCATAAAGATTCGGGGGGCTTATGTTGATTTGCCATCCAGGATGACTGGAGATCGTGGGTAACCGAAGAGTGGCTCGAGGCCAGTTGAACTGATCCCTAAAGTGTTCTGCCCATCGGACCAATCTCCTCGATTGAGAATGGATAATAAGACCATCCTTTTCCGAGATAGTCTCACTTAGAGTAGGATTCCTAATACCAGTTTGCTTGATGAGTTGGAAAAGTTGTCTACTGTTGCCTATCGCCGCTGCCTTTTCCATCGCTTTTGCATTCGCCACCCACCACTGTTCACGGTCGTTAACGTAGGCTTTTTGTCAGTCTGCGCCTAAGCTGACTTCGCTCTTCGTCATATTCAGAGTCAGGTGGGATGCGTTTTCGAGCATCCATCAGTTCAGTCGATGCAACTGAAATCCACGGCTTCATCCTAGCCTTATGCTTTGACTTACTTGCATATATCACTGCTGTTTCCATAGCTTTTTTGATATCATTCCAACCTTCCCTCGAATGGGAATCACTAAATTAAGATTCAGTTGAATTTGATTCTACGTACCTAATAATTTTTCCTAAGTTTCGTAATCTGGACTGAAATTGTTTTTTGCTATGTTCAGCCATCACAACAGAATGGCAAGTGTTAGATCATGCACGAAGTTTTTAGCCCGCATTTAGAGGTTCCTTGGCGACGTTCAAATCAATAACTAAAGCAATTAGTTTTCGATTGATGGGCAGACACTGTTAAATGACTAATTCTCCAAACCTGTTTTGTAATTACGGTTAGTCTTTTTGCGTTATATAACTTTCTTACCACTTTTTTTGAATTGTTTGATAACTTCTTAGAAATGTGGTCTTGAATGGCTTCTCGAGCAACCATATACATTCACCATGGATCTAATAAGTCAAGTATTGAACGGGAAACTAATTGTACAGTTAACAAATTTCTTATCTAAAGTAGACGAACACATTGAGCAGTGTCAGGTAAGATTACGTTATTTATTAAATTCATAAACAATATATTGCATACTTTGCAGTCCTAGTTTCGTATGAACCGGAGCCAGTAGATTTCTATCATTATCTTTTTCTTGTGATTGTTTTATTTCAATATAACCAAATCATTTTACATCGTCTAGGTATGTGAAACTCATATCCCGAGGTATTGTGTAGTTTGCAATGAGGGACCTACACGCCCATATCATACGAAAATGGCATTTTGTAATCAATGTAAAAAATCATGTCATCGGTAAGTGGTATATTTTTGTAATATACAAAATCGAGTTTTGCTATGGTTTTTGTTTCTAACGAATGTAGCTCTGGAATATAAACAACATGCTTACTTATTCTACCTGTCATTTATTATTCAATTACTTGACCTGTGACTTAATTGCTTATGCTTTCAACCAACAACTTTCGGGTTATAAACTTCTGTACCGCAAATACGTCTAATTGTATAACGAAATAGTCACAGTTAAAATTTATCCAGTAGGCATTAATAATAGTTATACCTAGAAAAATTAATTTCCTTTGTGTTGTGGATATAAATCTTACTGAAATGGTGGGGAAAATTTTTAGCTCAGGTGGATGATTGTGGTGGTGTTTCGGTTGTGGAGCTTTCGTTGTTCTTCTAAACAGCATAATCAGCACAAACTTCGGATAGAAGTGAAGTATTCGAATTTCTCCACGTATGACCTGTAGCTTGTTCTACTAACCTCGATCTTGACTGGTTTCTGTTGACCTTATTAAATCTGTCGTTGTTTGCACCTTTGTTTTGATTGTATCTCGCCTTTGATATGTTTCTTGATCGAATTTCGTCTATGATTTTTCTGATTAGTTGATCAATTGGGTCAGTGTCAATGTGTTTGTTGATAGTTGATTGACCTGAGTGCCAAGCTTCAAACGCCACGACAATTCTTCCTTCTTATCAATATACACGGACAATTATGAACATACATTCGATTGAAACAATGTGGAAATACTGGATAGGGGGAGCACAAAGAAAACTAGAAACTTTTTAGAAGCTTGGCACTCAGGTCAATCAGCTATCAACAAACACATTGACACTGACCCAATTGATCGACTAATCAGAAAAATCATAGACGAAATTCGATCAAGAAACATATCAAAGGCGAGATACAATCAAAGCAAAGGTGCAAACAACGACAGATTTAATAAGGTCAACAGAAACCAGTCAAGATCGAGGTTATCAGAACAAGTTACAGGTCAGACATAGAGAAATTCAACTTTGTTCCGCTATTCAAATACTTCAGTTCTACCCGAATTTTGTGCCGATGGTGCTGTTCAGAATAACAAGGAAAGATCCAGCTCAAAACAAAACGACACCACAATAAATCATGTTCTCAGACGACAAACGCTTAAGCCTAAACTTTCTAGGTGATCTCATAATTTGATTAACTTACAAGTCTGTAAGTAATAATTAGTGTTGAGATACTTACTTATGCCTGTTACCCGCAATGGAGCATAGGCCGCCCACCAGTTTTCTCCACCCAACTCTGTCCTGTGTTTCCCTTTCCAGTTCTTTCCAATTTTTGTTCATTCTTCTCATAGCTTTTTCTATTTCTCGGCGTAATGTATTCTTTGGCCTTCCTCTTTTCTTTTGACCTTGAGGGTTCCATGTGAGGGCTTGTCTTGTGACGCAGTTCGTTGCTCTTCGCTGTGTGTCCTATCCGCTTCCAGCGCCTCTTCCTGATTTCCCCCTCCACTGGAATCTGGTTTTTTCTCTCCCACAGTACGTTGTTGCTAATCATTTCTGGCCAACGAATCCGAAGTATTTTGCGTAGACAACTTTTAATAAACACTTGAATCTTCTGGCTGATGGCTTTGGTAGTTCTCCAAGTTTCCGCTCCATACAGCAGAACTGTTTTGACATTTGTATTGAAAATTCTGATTTTAGCGTTGGTTGATATTTGTTTGGAGTTCCAGATATTTTTCAATTGTAGAAATGCAGCCCTTGCTTTGTTGATCCGCGCCTTCACATCTGCATCGGATCCACCTTGGTTGTCGATGATGCTACCCAGATATGTAAAGGTGTTAACGTCCTCCAACGCATCTCCGTCAAGAGTGATTTGGTTGGCGCGTATTGTGTTGTATCGCAGAATCTCGCTTTTCTCTTTGTGTATGTTGAGACCTGCTGCTGCTACACTGGTCGTCTTCTCTTGCATTTGTTGTTGCGTGTGTGATAGAACAGCGAAAACCAAATCTTCCAGCTGCATCCTGGCTTTCCACTGTATACCTTGCTTCTCTCCAGATTTTAACGTCTTCATAATCCAATCGATCACCAGGAAAAAGAAAAATGGTGAGAGTATGCAACATTACCTGACACCAGTTTTCACTTCGAACGAGCCTATCAGCTGTCCTCCGTGCATGTTTTTGCAGTTGAATCCGTCATAAGAATTCCGTATGATGTTGACTATCTTCTCAGGCACACTGTAGTGTCGAAGAAGCCTCCATAGTGTTGTCCTGTCCACGCTATTGAATGCTTTCTCGTAGTCGATGAAGTTGATTTAGAGTGGTGCGTTCCACTTAGTTGGTTGTTCCACAATGATCCGTAATGTTGCAATTTCACCGGTACACGATTGATCCTTACGAAATCCAGCCTGTTGAACTCGAAGTTGAGCATCTACGAAGTCCTTCATTCTGTATAACACTACCTTTTTAAAGGCTGTTATTGAGGGAAAAGTAATGCCTCTATAGTTCTCACACTTGCCTTAGATCGCCTTTCTTTGGTATTTTGATGAGGTATCCTTCTTTCCAGTCTGAAAGTACTTGTTCTTCATCGCAAATCTTGTTGAAGAGAATGTTAAATATTTTTGTAGTTGCTGCCACGTCTGCTTTCATTACCTCTGCTGGAATGTAGTCTGGTCCTGCTGCTTTGCCACTCTTGATTTGTCTGATGGTTCTGTTAATCTCTTCAATGGTTGATGGGCCAACATCGATTAAGAGGTCTATAGTTGCTGGTTCTATATTGGGTGCGTTCAGTGGAGCTGATGGATTCAAAAGTTCCTTGAAGAGCTCTATGCCCCTATGTCGCTGATTACTTTGCCTTCCTTGCTTTTCACTCAGTCATTTACAGCGTAGAAATTCGTATGTACGTACATCAGTGCAGGTCGCCATACCGCATTAGCATACAGACGCAAATGTCAGCTCGAATCCGATAGCGGTAGCAATAGTACAATTATTAGCAGTATTGGAGATCAGGGTTCGAATATATGATTCGAAAAGTATAATTCAGTGAGATAAATTTAGAAAGAGATAATGAGAAATTCAGAATGGTAAAATTTGAGAGCACACAAAGAGTGGATGCACCTGCGTCATTGCAAACGATTCTGAGCCATTTCATTCATGGTCTTTAACCATCGATTACTATCATCTCGCGGACCCCATCCAGGCAATTGACACCTACCAACATGACTCAGTCCACTTGTTAGTGACTTCATGGATATGTTCCATGTTACGGTTTGGCCGCCCCTAGCTTTCTTCCAAGTTAATCCTACACTACAAAACAGCTCGTCGAGGCAGTCGGTGGTTGGACATTCGTAACACATGTCCCAACCACCTCAACTGATGAAGCTTCAATACTTCATCTATTGATCTGCCATCATTACCTAGCATCCGTTTCCAAACGACAGCACTGCTTACTCGGTTGTCCCACGGTATACGAGAAATGCTTCTTAAACATCTCTGATCGAATACTAGTAACCTACGAACATCTACTCTTAACGGCCATGTTTCACATCCATATAAGAGAACGGAACGAACTGCTGCGCAGTACACTCGTCCTTTGGTCAGCGAACGGATATCTCGCCTATGCCATAAGTGACGTAGGTTGGCAAAAGCCTATCACTAGTTCAGGTGCCGAATCTACCCAATCTTGAAGCAACATTTTGCATTTCGAAGGGGAAAACCGCATCCTGAACATGCTTGCATTGTTGCTCAGAGTAGTCAGAAGATTCTGCATTTTGTCAGCGTCTTCACCGAATACAACTATGTCATCTGCATATTCTAAGTCAGCAAGCGTGTCTCCTGGTAGAAGGTCTACTCCTGAAAACTCAGACGAGGATAAGGTTATATCTAGAAGCATGTCTACGACAAGGTTAAACGAGAATGGGGAAAGTGGACAGCTGTTATAATGACTGTTATGTTGCTATTCGAAATCCTACCGATATTCCAATACGATTCCAAATACTGTTCCCAAATCTCCAATATATCAGAACACAACACCGTTAGAAGAGGTTGTTTATAGTGTCGAGTAGATAAGGAATGAGGGAATTATAAGCTTTACAGATAATGCATATTTATACAATTGGGTCGAATAGGAAACAACATTGAGGTATGTGACAGTTAGGGCGGCCATAATATTGACCAGTAGAAATGGGCCAATAGAATTAGACTTCTAAAAGAGTTCTCTTAGGATATTTGATGAATATCCTAACAACAGCCCTGACGAACACCACTTGAAGTAAAGAATTCCGATGAAAGTTTTCCATAAGCTCCTACTTGCTGTTCACCGGTCGTTCTGGTTTGCGATAGTTTCCGGAGAGCTTCTTTCTTGTATCACAGAATTGTCCCAAATTTCCTTCCCTTGCGGCCTGTTCTGCCGTCATTGTTAGATCATCCACATATTTTGGTTTGTTGGCTCTGATGCCCGACTGTAGCTGCTACCTTGACGTGGTGGTCGAATTTGCCTATCGTGATGACCCAACCGGGATATATTGGCTGGGACTTATGTTCCTCAAGGTTCTACCATGCCAGACAGGTCGATTGGAGAACGATGAGACTAAAAGCAGCTACCCGAGGTCCGAGGCCGAAGTCGTACTGCTGACTTCATAGGGGTGTGACAGCAGTAAGGTGTTTCCCTTGAACAACCAGCATCTGCAGCGATGTTGCCTTCTCAAAGGGAAGGAAGGGGTTAGAAAAGGTCGACCCTAAAAATGTCACACCTCACCTGACCTCACGCATTTCCGTCTGTTGGAGCATTTAATGTACGGACATTGTTTCAAATAGGGCAACAGGCTTCATTGGCTAGGACTTTAGAATCTCGCTCAATCGATGTGTGCTGCGTCTCGGAAACGCGCTTACAGGATCCGAGTAGCATCATTCACAAGACAAAGAAGCAACTCGATTTACCCTTCGTGTATCTGGAACCCCTGATTCTGCTTCCCGTGGTTTCGCTGGCGTACATATAGCATTGAGTCCTAGGGTAGAATTATCACTCCTAGACTGGATCCCAGCAGATAGTTAGTTGTGCGCTGTCGGACTAAACGGTACAGTAAGGACTCGGAATGATAGGGGCACCCGTCGTTGCCTCTTCGTCGTATCTGCCTACGCTCCCACTAACTGCAGTTCAGACAAGGTGAAAGATGAGTTTTACAGAAAGCTTTCGGACCTCCTCTAAAATGCTAGGCGCTCTGATATAGTTATTATTGCTGGTGACTTTAATGCACAAGTAGGTAGACTAAGTGAAAATGAAAGACACCTAGGTGGATGTTATGGTGTCGCGGCTCAAAGAACAGACAATGGCGACCGTCTGTTGCAACTGTGCTCAGATAACCAACTATTTCTAGCAAACACTAATTTTACGCATAAGGAAAAACATCTTTTACCTGGCGACCCCCGAAGTCGTCTCAACGTTAGACACAACTAGATCATATCGCCATCAGCCACCGGTGGAGGGGTTCAACAGAGGACTGTCGCTCGTTGTGGGGCACATGTTTAGATTCAGATCATGCTCTAGTGCGAGCGCGTATTTGTTTGCGACTTACTGGACGAAGGTAAGACACTGCCAGAAAACGTCTCATGGTTTTACCTAATGATAGCATGGCTAAGAATATATTTCGGGAGGAACTAGAAAAACAGTTAGGCGACCATGCAAGTGATTACCATCCGGAAGCAGGTTGGAATCATATCAAAAAAGCTATGGAAACAGCAGTGGTATCTGCTAGCAAGGTAAACCACAAGGCTAGGATGAAGCCGTGGATTTCAGTTGCATCGACTGAACTGATGGATGCTCGAAAACGCATCCCACCTGACTCTGAATATGACGAAGAGCGAAGTCAGCTTAGGCGCAGACTGATAAAAAGCCTACGTTAACGACCGTGAACAGTGGTGGGTGGCGAATGCAAAAGCGATGGAAAAGGCAGCGGCGATAGGCAACAGTAGACAACTTTTCCAACTCATCAAGCAAACTGGTATTAGGAATCCTACTCTAAGTGAGACTATCTCGGAAAAGGATGGTCTTATTATCCATTCTCAATCGAGGAGATTGGTCCGATGGGCAGAACACTTTAGGGATCAGTTCAACTGGCCTCGAGCCACTCTTCGGTTACCCACGATCTCCAGTCATCCTGGATGGCAAATCAACATAAGCCCCCCGAATCTTTATGAAGTTGAAAAGGCTGTAGGAAATCTGGAGTGAGGGCGAGCAGCGGGTGCTGATAGATTGACCCCTGAGATATTTAAAGATGGTGGTCCAGTTTTAGCAGCTAGGTTGACTGAGATCTTAGGTAGGATCTGGGATCTGGACGTAATCCCATCCGACTGGACTCAATCCCTGATTGTCCCAATTTATAACAAAGGACAAAAGTCCTCCTGTGACAATCACAGGGTAATAAGTTTAACTAATATAGTTTATAAGTTGTTAGCCTCGATTATACTTAGACGTCTAACTAGAGCTCGTGAAGAGCAGACTCGAGAAAACCAGTCTGGTTTTCGACCTGGACGCGGCTGTATAGACCACATTTTCACATAATGACATGTCCTGGAACACAGAGACACATTTAGACGTCCTACAATAGATGTCTTCCTGGACCTTAAGGTGGCATTTGACTTAATGGATCGTGAGGTTCTGTGGCAGTGTCTGTCATTGAAAGGTGTACCGAAGAAGTACATTAACCTTATACAAGCTCTCTACTCGAACACCACTGGTCGAGTGAGAGCTTATGGCGAACTGTCACCGGAATTCTTTACTTCAATTGGTGTGCGCCAGGGATGTCCACTCTCCCCATTCTTGTTTAATTTTATCATAGACATGCTCTTAGAAATAACCTTATCCTCGTCTGAATTTTCAGCAGAAGACCTCCTACCAGATGGCTCGTTTATCGACTTAGAATATGCCGATGACATAGTTCTACTTGGTGAAGACGCTGACAAAATGCAGTCTTCTGACCACCCTAAGCAACAATCCAAGCACATTCGGGATGCGGTTCTCACCCTCGAAATGCAAAATGTTGCTTCAGCATTGGCTTGCGTCGATACGTGAATTGGTGATAGGGAGTGAAGTAGTCGAACGTGTTGACCACTTCACTTATCTTGGGAGTCTCATCAATGCTGATGGCCTGTTTGTGACGAAATCTCAGCACGGATACAGAAGGCTCGATTGGCTTTTGCAGACCTGCGCCACTTGTAGCGTAGGCGAGATATCCGTTTGCTGACCAAAGGACGAGTGTACTGGGCAGTAGTTGGCTCCGTTCTCCTATATGGCTGTGAAACATGGCCGTTGAGAGTGGAAGATGTTCGTAGGTTACTAGTATTCGATCAGAGATGTCTCCTAAGCATTGCTCGTATATCGTGGGACAACCGAGTATTCAATGCTGTCTTCAGGAAACGAGTACTAGGTAATGGTGCTGAGTCAACAGACGAAGTAATGAAACTTCATCAGTTTAGTTGGTTGGGACATGTGTTACGAATGTCCAACCACCGACTGCCTCGACGAGCTTTGTTTTATGGTTTATGAGTAGTTTGGAAGATAGCTATGGTAGGCCATTCCAAAAGATGGTAGAAATCCATGAAGTCACAGACAAGCTAACTGAGTCGTGCTGGTAAATTTAGGCTACCCGGATTGGGTCTGCGAGACGAAAGTCACCAATGGTTAGAGACCTTTAACTTTTGTCTTTCTAAACTTAACTCACTGAATTATACTTCTTGATCAATATCTTCGAACCCTTGTTATCTTCATTACCATTAATACCTCTACTATCTTTATCACTATGGAATTCGATTTGACATTTGCGTTTCTGTGCTAATGTGGTATGGCAACATGAACTTGTGTACATGCCTACGAAGTTCTACGTCGCAACTGACTGACTTCACTTGCCTGTTTGTTTCTGTGTATTCAGTTTTTGCCTAAATTGTCTTTGCTCTTGTTCAGCTGATGTTGATTGCTGCCTTCTTGTTCTTCCTGTAATCCCGAGTACTAACAGAGACCGGTTCCATGTGCTGGTACTTCTTGTGGCTCAGAACCTCCTGACACGTTGAAGTGATTGCCTCCTTGATCCCATTACAATTGTTCTCCATGGCTCTTTCCTCTCCATTGAGTATATCATGCAAAGCCTGGAACCTGTTGGAGAGGGCTATCTTGAATTTTTTGTTTTACGGTATCCCGAAGAAATGCCGTATTAGACTTATGTCCTGTTGTCTGTCCCGCTGTTCAGTGATTCATTAGTTTCAGTTTCATTTTGGCGACCAGCAAGTGGTGATCTGAGGCTATATCATATACTGACTGACTGACTGACTCTCTTGGTTCTTACATCCTCCATAGTCCTTAGCTTTTTGTTGATAAAGATATGGTCGATTTAGTTCTTTGTTTAGTAATCCGATGAAATCCATGCGGTTTTGTGTATGTGTTTGTGTGGGAATATTGAAGGCACATAGGTTTGCATATCCCTCACCGTTTTCGTTCCTTTCTCCCAGTCCATGTCATCCCATGTTGTCTTCATATCCAGTGTTGTCCATGCCAACCTTTAGGTCTCCCATCAGAGTCGTCAAATTCCTTTGATGAGCATCTGTCGACGATTGACTGCAGCGTTTCGTAGAATTGATCTTTATCGTCGTCATCGTAGTCGTTGGTAGGTGCATAGCATTGGATGACATTCATTGTTTGCCCTCTTTCTTTGTTTTGAAGGATGCTTTAATGATCCTGGGTCCATGAGATTCTTGTATGTATGTGAGGCTATTTCTTCATGGCCTGAATATTATAGCTGCTCTCCTAAAGCTAGTCTCAGTTGTACAACTTGCCTCCGATGCGTGTCACTGATTCCAAGGTTGTATCTTTTCACCTCTGCAGCAATTTGGAACAGTCTTCCGTTCTCTCACACTGTTTGAACATCCCATGTACCTAAAGGAATGATTGATCTGGTTGTGAGAATGGGCATCGGCCTTGTTCAGAAGCTGAAGGAACTCAGCTTTCATCATGAAACGTCTTAACTATTCTGTAAGAAGACCTTCTAACTCCCAGGGCAGAGTGAAAATGGTTTGAATTGTTTTCTGGTTAGCGTTTATCTTTTATCCGGGCTTGGGACTGGCTGTGGCCCTAGAGGGGTTCCAGGCGGAGTTAAAGTGTTGAGACCATGGAGAAAATTTGTAGCTTAGATGGATGTTATTGATTGGGGTCCCATGAACTTCACAGATTGTTTCACTCACAATAGACGTCTTGCTGTCAGTGGTTCGGATGATTTGAAGGATCTTCCAGTAGAGATTAGTACATTCTAATTACTAATGTGGTTCCGTTCTCTGAGCAGGATTTGTCGGTTGTGGAACTTTCATTGTTCTTCTGAACAACATCATCAGCACCAACTTCGGATAGAAGTGAAGTATTCGAATTTCGCTACGTTTGATCTGTAGCTTGTTCTGTTAACCTCTCTCCTCTTCTAAGTACATTAAAAACACCAGTATAGTAAATGAAGCTTTCTTGTTCATTTAGTTTAACCAATTCAAATGCATTAAGTTTGTTGATTAAATATCCATCAGTAATCACTAGAATGTTTAAACAAAACACTTGTCATCAACACAAACGATTAATAAAATATTGAACTTCCAAAGTTTCCACTTTAACAGAATGTAAACCTTATTGATATTAATTCGCTTCTCGCAAATTGTAATTGTAGATTGCATATTCCTATCAGGTTTACATTATAATTTAAACTATTATCTGCATAGTTTTCTTACCTTAGTAACTCTGCATACATAAATATGGGCGTTTTCCATGTGACTCGTCCTGAAAGTTTCAACTAAATCATTCCATAATCCTTTTAAGGGTAACAGATATAACCATTCACTTAGACAAATGGGAATATGTAGTACACTTTTGTCTATTCACTAACCTATGTAAACTATTTATCCATATGATAAACTTCTTTAGCGTAATTTTCTTATTCCTTTTTTGAAAAATATCATAGATCCTGTTTGTCAGTGCCATTACCTGTCTGTTTGAAAGATACTCCATCCCATATGAATATTCTTAAAGCCTACGGATTATCTGAATCGGATTTTAACTATAGTGAAGCTCATGATGAGTGGATCGAAGTACTTTATCCTTCTTTATGCGTACTATGTAAACAGTGTGGTTCATATTGAATCAACAACATTATTTTATTGGACGGATCGTTTACTCTAATATATTTGTGTCATCTGCAAACATTCCCAACTATTTTTAGACTATGATTTTCAGGATATCGTTGTACATTTTCGTGATTAGATGCATCTGTATATATGCGAAATAAACTCTGAAGTATATTCTTGATAATTTTTTACCTGCTTAATTTATGTTTACTTTCACCTTTCCTGGCATATTACTTTTTGTACCTTGGTTTCATATTCTCTACCAAAGTAAATATAATGAGTTCGCTGCTGTTAATTTAAAATATTTTCCTTTATTACGAAGGATTTATTTCTGGCAGAATATTAGCTTCCCAATCTGAATGCTAATAGCGATTTGAGCTATCTGAGCTAAAATAAAATTATTAATAAAATACTAATTTCGTTTACTGATATGCTTGTGAAGTCCATTTACGCCGTTGTTAAAAGCACACCATAACGACCAATAAAAAAATGTTTATCACACCATGGTGTTGTGAATCGCCTACGTCATGTGTTCGCTTTCACGGTTACTTACTTTTTCCACTAAAGTTCTGAACCACTAATCTTTTTCCTGGAGTCACCAAATAACCAGAAGACATACCTCAGTGGAAAATGCTGACAAGTTGCAGTCATTTGACGTTCTTGAACAGTTGTGTAAAGTTGTTTCCCACCTCTTGAACTGGAGGATTGGTCAGATCTGTTACCTAGTACTATTATACGCAGGAAAGTATTTAAGTGCGTTGATCATACCACTTATATTTGGGTTTCATCAATTTTGGTGGATCGATAAAGTCCCTATACTAGTGCAGACCAACTGCAGCTCATTAAATACCAGTAAAATACACAAGTCTGCTATGCATTACTTTGTGACTCTAAAACACTGCCTTTGCAAACAGTATTATTGCTTAAGTTGCAAGGGTTTTTAAAGTACTGTTTGTGTGTAATCAAAGAAAAGAGACGTACTGGCTATAAATGGCGAATCAGTTGAGACAGGAAACCTCCGTAAAGTAAAAGTGGGTGGAACACGAGCTACTTATTCTATCCGGACTTTCGACAAACTAGTTATTTGACGACTATATGTTAATACAAGCGGTATTTTAAGACTTTCGATCGTTCGGAAAGATAAATATTTACCCCATTTCACTTGCAGTCATTGGTAAAGATCATAATAGCAAGAATAACTTGACTTTCCAAAAGAAACTCATGCCATTATCATTTGAGGATGTTGAAAACTTATTGTGTAAAAAGTAGCGACTGCAAATGCAAGGTAAGAATGAGTAAATTCACACAAAATCATCCAAGTCTGAAATTTCATTCTGGAACTCCTAAAAGAAGCAACAAATATATTTTGAAGATCAGCTCTGTAATTGTTTAGTCACTGAAATGAGGGTACGGAATCTTCAATGGGAGCTAAGAATTCACAAAATGTTCACTTCAAGATGTCAGAGCCGTCTATATTGATTAAAAGTCTGTGATTATTTAATCTCGTTATTAGTGAAGAACGAATACTTTTTTTTCTCACATCCTGAAAAAATTCACTCCACTTTCAAAAATGACTATATACATCTAATGTCCCATTTGTTATTTTCGATACTGGTATTAACTCCATTATTTCAATTAAAAAATCGAAGTTAGTGTATTAGAATCTTTTGCCTGAACCCAATAAATTTTTTATGTCGAGTGTTACGGTAGTGATAGTGATTCGCAGCTCAAAGATGGTAATTATTTACTTCTAACCTCTGAATTGATAGTCTGTACTGAGTGCTTGCGGTTTAAATATTTTAAGGTTGCTTGAAGTGCAACTATATCGACTACTAAAAACATTTCATTCCAGCTTTGATTTGATTAGTGCAGCTGCAAAGATTAGTTCCTTTCTTCCTGATATCCCTGTTCTAATGTAATGTTCAAGTAGAAACGTTTATAAAATTCCTGAAATCTTGAACCGATATTATTTGTGCCTTACAGTTCGACGAGTTGAGAAGATGAATGAATGAATGAATTCTTTCAGCACATAAGTAGATGTTATACCTTGTAATGAGGAAATTAACAAATAGTTGCTTTAAGGGAGTTGTGTTTGTTCAGACCTGGATTGCTTATAGTTTGCTGATGTTAGTTTCGACTATAATTGAGACGTTGACAGAAAAGTATTTCTAAATCCATCATTCCCACAGTGAACATGGATTGTCCAAATACACATAAAAACCACATTAATTTAATAAGTTTTGAGGCCTCAATTTATTCCATTGCAATTTTTGTTGTTTATAAATATATTAAGCTGTTTGTAGATAAAACAGAAGCTTCGTCCATAATAGGATGATGATTGTTCTGTATATAATTGCACGTTTTATTCCAATACACTACCTTCACTTGCATGCAGATTCTTCTGTCTTCCACCGCTACTAGAGTACGTTTCGGATATATTCGGAAAAATTTCTGCAGACAATGCATTCAATGCTATTAGATATTTTATGAGGTTATTTTTAAGGATAGACTCGTGAGGAATGTTGGCACATGGAATTTTGATTATTACCTTGAAGAGGTTCAGACAAGATCATTGGAAGAAAACTTGAAATAAACTAAATTTAAATCTCCAAGATTATTTCAAATATATTTTCCACGAATAATGTCTCTATATGCTTGACTTCCAATTTGACAAACTAATTATTCAAATATTAATGAATATTCGTATAAAGTATGAAATTCTCATCAACGTTCTGATTCCCCATTGTATCGACAATCATACAACTATACACTGGTTTACAACTTCTCGGTGAACTGTTTTCAAGAGTTCTACGAAACATTTCTTAGTGGCATAATGAGGCAGTAGTTTCATACAAATATTTGATGAGTTGTAATTGAGAATAAAAGTTTAATTGCACAAACAAGTAAATAAATCCTCTCTTAAACTTTTCATCAGTGAGTAAACATAGTGTTTCCTTACCCTAAAATATATTACCTTTCAACCGATTGGTGCTAAAACTAAAAGCATCACTGAGTCGTTTAGCTATATTAAAATTGTTTTCAGGTAGAATTTTGAAATACTTATAAACAGTTTAGCTATATCCATAAATGTATACTTCTTAGTTTGCTAACAAGTTGTGGTGTTTCAAAAAACTTTCATATTTATTATTATCGAGGAATATAACAAACTGAAGTATATGTTTATTTTTTGAAGTAATATTAGTGTTATTTAAAACGCTATGTTCTCGTCGTGCTTCATACGTCCCTTAAATTTTTCGTATAGATGCTGTCAATAGGTGACTATATCGATGGGATGTGGTTTATTCGGATTATTTTCCAGTAACCAGTCGGCCAGCCAAAGCTAGGTGAACAGAAAACCAAACAAAAGCACATCATTAAAAACTAAAAGCTATTCAAAGTGAAATCTCAAAAGTACTAAGTTTAATATTCAAAGAGATTTAGGAAGCGTTGAGTGAAGTACGAAACTTTTGTAAAAAAAAAATATCTTATTATATTCAGTGGCTTAAAAGCGTTAGAACCATTTTCACTCAATCATTGAGATTTTATTTGTTTGACCGACACGATCAAAATGGTATAGGGTGTCGTTTGGAATTATATGGTAAGAGGGATGCTGGTGAATGAAAGCCAGTTCAATAGTGTTTAGGCCAACTTAAGATATACCTATCGTTATAATATTTCAACATCCAAAGCAATAATTAGACTGAACTATTTTATTCAAGTTCCACGTGAAAAGTTAGTCAATTTGGAGAGATGATGCTTTTTAATTTAGTAACGGAATATGATTTCTCGATGAGTTATTCACAACTATCACAAAATTATTATGTCACAAATAATATTTGCCTAAATGTAACTTACCAAACCAACTTACATTATTAACCTTATTACATTGAAATATCAATTCACAGTTCGAATACGTCAGTGTGTCAGAACGAAAAGTTGTCATTCCAACAGCTCAATTACTTACCATTTAACTAAGCACACGAAAAAACTACTTAATTTTCATGTTTATAAAAATTCATTACATTGAATTAATCTTAGCGGCCTCGTTTGATTACATTAATGCCAAAAAAAAACAGCGTGATATTACTGCATTCTTAATTTTTAACAAAAATATCTCATGTTATTTGTCATTTAACGAAGTGTTATAATAGCTTTTAACGCTAGATTATTTTATTTTTAAAAATTAATGAGTGCCATAACTAATATGATTGAAGCAGTTTCTTGTTTGCGTTAATAATTTGATTTACTTTTATCACTGTGCATGTTATCAATGATTTATATGATCTTTTTTGTTGTTGGTGTTTAATATTTGAAACTAATGATTTGAATTCTACGCTAGTTAGAACTCATCAACTAGATATATATATTCTATTCCAGTTCTTGTGGAGTCTGTACTGGAATAAAAGTGTATCTCTGAATCAGTAAATTTTGACACTACAAAAACTTCTCAATTATTAATCAACTAAGTTTAGCAAATCAGCAACAAAGAGATAAAGTTTTAAGAGAAGTCATAGTTTAATGATATTCACGAATATGATAATTTCATAATCCAGTTTTTGTTACATACTAACTAATACGTGAATTAGAAAATGTCTTCAAAAATTAATATCCGAAGACTATAATTAGCAACTTACTACTGGATCCTTAGGCTTTTGTTTGCAGAGTTCTGTTAAACCTTTTAGTAAAGTTGGGTTTACATTTCTGACCAAATAATCTTTTGCTGCAAGTTTTACGGGAACTTGTGAAACGATCACTAGATTATTGAGTAATTTTCATAAAAAAAACATTGTGTTGAGTGGAAAAAGTACTATTGCAATAAGAAAAATATTACAACTTTGTTTAAACATATATTTAAAGTTTCAGTTCATAAATGTACCTGCTTCATTCCCGATTGTATTCTTCCTAGAATATTCTGTTCCAATGTCTTAGGAGGATTAAGTACTTTTAAATTCATACTGACAGTGAGATAAGTTTCGGGCTATAGTGCATTGAAACTTGGTTCAAAAATATGGGGTTTTACATTGAGCGTTGAATTCTACAAAGAGATGGTCCCTTGGATTCCATTGGTTTCAAGTGTGTTTATCACTGCTTATATGCAAAAATACGGAATGAAGATTTTGCAAAATATTTGATTTAAATCAGGATTTTATTTTTTACTCAGTGAACGGTCTTGTAGTCTGAGAATTATAGAATGTTGAGGTGATTCATTGTGCAGTTTACACAAAGTATTCGAGATTTTTGAAACTGTTATGATGAACAAAAACCAGACAGTTCAATATTTCTTGAATTTATTGGTCAAATCTGACTAAAATATATTATTATTAACCCTCCATTGTTCTTAAGTTAGCTCGAGCTATTCCTTTATTTTAGAAAAATGCTTTTCTTGTAAATAGACTCTAAAATAAATAACGGGACCTCCAACTATTTCTCCAATAATAAGACTGGGTCTATGCAAGTTGTAATGTAAATAAAAGGTTTATATACTCGTATCAACTTTAGAGCAATATGACTAACTAAAGTCGACTTATAAGTAATTCTTTATGGCCACATAATCATCCTTCCCGTTACTTTAAGCCAAACAAGTAGTATTTGATATAAGGTGCTAAATTTAGGTGGACAGCTATAGAAAACTAGGATGCTGTTTTTTATGAGCCAGGACGTCTCATTGGTTCCTATAAACGATAATACTAGAGACCAAACCTCAAACCTCCAGACTTCATCACAGTCTCTCAAACTCCAGAACATTGAACTATCATCGGTTGGTCAATTTTTTCATCACAAAGCAATCTGCGATATTTTGTGACTTGCATCCACCAGGATCGATGGTACCTATCTAATGGTCGATGTGATTCAGTTCTATTGGCTCCGGATTCTCACTATAACTCAGTTAGTTCCTAGTGAGAAGATAATAGTAACAGCATAGCAGTTATAGGAATATCGATAAAGAAATACAAACTTCATCTTAGCTACTTACTATCTGGGAAGAAGAATCTGATTTCTCTTTCAGCACTTGTAAATGAATCGCTTCCATGTATTCCATTCTGCTGATCATCTGTACCATAAATAGCTCTTAAACTATACAAGAATAAATTTTAATATCAACAATTCAACCTTTCAGGTGCAATCGCCTTAGCTTTAAATGCATTTTGTGGACCAATTAATTCACGACAAGCAGATATGGCATTTTCTCTAGCTATGACTAATACCTCTATCGGACCACTGCTGATATAAGAAATTAAAGTTGCATAAAATATTTTTCCATAGTGTTCTGCATAAAATTCACTTGCTTGTTCTGGAGTTAAATGTACGCGCTTTTTCTATCAAACGCATTAATTTAGTTACAAATTTTAGGAAATCGGTATTTACCTGTAATATTAGGAATCCTTTTTGCAATAGAACTTCTTCTATTTTATCTGCATACTTAATAACATCTGGTTTAATAATAAAGAGTGTTCTTTCAATATGAATATATGGAGAATTTCCCTTAGACATTTCTGAAATTAACGATATTTTTAGTAGGTACTATATTGGTTTACTTGCTGTGTGGAATGAACTCTATAATTTCCGGGCCTGAAATTAGATTTAAAATTGACAATGGTCTTGAAAATACTAAAGAGAACAGAACTTGTTGACTGCTAAAAAATATACCATCACACGATGTAGTGCAATTAGTATTAGTAGTACATTGTTAAAAGCAATTGATAGTCTTTTTAATTAATTGGTTTAAGTTCGATTTATTCCGGTCCTTTGTTTATCAAACCAACTGTTGTAGATAATCTACCATCTATAAAATATTTATCAAGATAGGAAGAGGAACCCTGTCGGCAAATAAGTAGATTGTTTAACCAGGGCGTTGAATATTACAAGAATTTATTACTTTTTCCTTAAGCATATGAATAAATTTTCTATATAATTGATTGGTTAAGCGGTTTACTGTAGATTTTACAGATCAATTTCGTTTAAATTATTTTCATGGAAAACCTGTTTTCTAAAAAAGAGAATGTGAGGTATCAAACGAGTGATATATTTCATTAAAATACGAATATGAACTCATATATAACTTTGTTGTTCTTGTTTTTGTAGCTAAACCCGTTTTAAGTCGGACTTGTAGTAATGCAGGTTGTCACTTTGAACATGTTACTTCCTTTTTTTATCCATTGGCTGTGATTGAGACAGTACGAAATTCATGACCTGCTATTTCGTGTTGAGTTTGGAAGAATTTAATACAACTTATAATAGATTATCTCAAGTTTTCAGTTGACTCTGTCAGTAGTCAAAAGCAACGTAGAACCTGCCGAATTTGTATATCAGTACAAATTATCATAACCCATTAGCAAAGTGAAATGAAACTGTCAGAGAAAATATCAGAGCAGTAGAGGTAGTAATAATATTATTGCTAATAGAAAACACTAGGCATTCAGAATATAGTTCGCGAAAAATGTTTAAATTAGTAGGATAATGAAAAAATCCGTGAGGAATTAAGGAGATTACTATTTAATGCAAGACAAAGAGCGAGTGCTCCTATAGCACAACAAACGATTTCGCTCCATAAAACACAAAATTTCTACCCATGGTTAATGATAATCTGGTGGACCACGACCAGGTACACATAAGTACATGCCTTAGTCCAACATTTGGAGTCTTCTACTCCATTGATTATAACCTAAGTTTTTCTCATTTTATTCTGACTTACAATTATCGTTTTCTCATTAGGAAATTACTTTTTTTCACCTCTCGATTTTTTATTGCTATCAGTGCTTCGAAGATTCTTTCAGAAGACAATATATATTCATGATGTTTTTATTTATTCACTGTTATACTGCGCTGATGTGTTTACAATATCAGACCAGAAAATTCATTGGCATATTTTTATTTCACCTTGTAATTTTGACTTAAATGTTATGGACTGTAGGTAGTAAATAATGACCTAAAAGAAAAACTGAATATATTTTAGTTCGCCTAAATTACTGTTATTATTCTAGTAAAAGCGAATCTGTCAGAAATTGTTTTCCTAGTTTATAAAGTAAGAGCGGACATTAATCAGGAACACCAAATAATAATAATAATATATATACTATTGGCTTAGAACTACAGTTACTTCACATGTATAAGTACTGTTGGTAATACTCAGTTTTTCACTCTCTGTCTCTAAGCTTTACATTCTCATGTTTTTTGCTCCAGGTTGCCGTCTATATCTTTAATTCATTTTGCCTTTGCTATTGAAAACAGGCATATAGACAGACAGATACAACTCAGAACTTCGTACATAAGTACACCAGTTCAGGTTGCCGTAACCCATCAGTACAGAAACGCAACTGTCAGTTCAAATCCAAGAGTAATAGCAATAATAGAAGTATTAGCAGTAATGGAGAAGATTAGGGAGAGAAGATTTAATTCGAGAAGTATAATTCAGTAAGATAAATTTAGAAGGAGAAAGGTAAAGATTGTGAAGAATTCAGAAGGTTGGAATTAAAAAGCACACAAAGAGTGGATGCATCTGCGCCATTGCGAACGATTTTGAGCCATGTCGTTCAACGTCTCTAACCATCGGTGACTTTCGTCTCGCGGACCCCATCCAGGTAATTGACACCTACCAACATGACTCAATCCACTTGTTGGTGACTTCATGGATTTCTGCCATGTTTTGGTTTGGCCGTCCCTAGCTTTCTTCCAGTCTACTCCTACACTGCAAAACATAGCTCGTCGAGGCAGTCGGTGGTTAGCCATATGTAACACATGTCTCAACCACCTCAACTGATGAAATTTCAATACTTCATCTATTGATTTGCCATCATTACCTAGAATTCGTTTCCTAACGACAGCATTGCTTACTCGGTTGTCCCACAATGTACGAGCAATGCTTCGGAGGGATCGATGATCGAAGACTAGTATCCTACGAAAGTCCTCTACTCTTAACGGCCATGTTTCGCATCCGTATAGTAGGACGGAGCGAACTGCTGCACGGTTCACTCGTCCTTTGGTTAGCAAGCGGATATCTCGGATGCTTCATAGACGACGCAGGTGAAACCGGCACAACAGTACGTTACTATTATGCGATTTTGTGTGAATAACACCTGCTAACAATATTGTGTGGTCATGCTTATTAATTTGCAAGTATATCGCATTGAATTTACCTTAAATGTAAAGTCCAGAGTATCTTTTCCGGTATATTAACCATGAAGCACAAACCCGTTGGCACAATGGAACTAAAATTAGTTATGTATGCTTTTGGACATTTCGGTCGTTACAAAACAGAAATCACACTTTCTGTAATCTTAGCAGAATATAACGTTAAATAATTTGCTAGCCACTTGGGTGTGAGTCACATTCTGTGAAGGCTGATTATACAACCTTGGTGCCCAAACTGACGATGTTGTCGTTGAGACATCCTTCTATAGTTACGAAACCACGATTAGTGGCTGAAGTGGTAATTTTCAAATATTACTGTCGTATATGAGAGAATAATATCATTCCAACATCCATAGTTTCACTTGTAAGGTGAAGAGGGGCCAGAAATTATGGATACTAGTCTTCAGAAAAGAAAATAAGAGATAAATCTACAAGACTACGGATTTGTTCAGTAATCGGTCTTTATTCCAGATGGAAATGTAACTAAAGTGATGATTAACAGCTCCAACGCATTTCTTTGGTAATTTCTTAGCACACATTGTGGAACCAGAACTGTGTGCTAATTTTACGCTCTTTAGAACTGTCATCAAAAATAAAGTTTTCTAAACGCCGAAGAGAGAAATAGTCTTTCACAATATCTATTCAGTGAGTGCAACGATTTCGAATAATTTAGTCTTTCATTACCTCCGAAGATTTTACAAAGATTTCAACATTAAATTACAGAGATTCTTTCATGATATGATGGAAAAATCAGATAGTCATTAGTCCAAAAGGGGAGAACGTGTCTTTACCAAGTTTTAAGCATTATTACTTCCAGGTAGTAATGACCTTATCCAAAAGTCAGTAGACAAACAGACAATTATGCTACAAGAAGACTAGTTAAGCCGCTTTGCCCTCTGTCTTCAGATAGCTGACGCTATGTTGTATAAAAACTGACAAATGATGATGAGAATAGGATTATAACTGAAAAACTGTTGTCCAAAAAATAATATTATTATGTATCCGTGGTAAAAAAAAATACAATTAAATCTAATTAACAGTTACTTGGAAGGACGCAACCATATTCTTAAAATCTGTATGTTGAATAAGAACCTACGTGCATGCATAACTTGCTGGGATATTAAATCTAACAAAAACATTTTGCGGTTGATTCCAGGAGTAAGTGAACCTGAATTTGGAAGATTATATTATTCTAATTACAAAGATGTGTGGTAAATATGAACAATGTCTCCAATATATTTTTCACAGGCTAACATAACCTTTCTGATTTATCTACGCTTGCTTCTCGTTTTCTCGGTATAGTTTTAGGTATTTCGTCATGATGACAAAAATTAAGCATTTGCACTAGTAGGTAAAAGAGGTACTAAACCTATTCAATACTTAGTATGATGGATAAAACAGTGATTCGAGTGCCATGTTGGTAAGTTCTGATTTCATAACAACATAATCACAGGAAAGGTAGTAACTTATACCGGAAAACACTAGAGTAGATTTTAAGACTCCCGCACTCCCTAACATGGTAACGAGCATGTAATAAACAACTTCTATACTGGAATGCTTCATATATAGTTTTGAATGAAACAGAAGAAGCCTTCGTTCAACTTGTTTTTCATATTTGGTTATTATGAATTTTCGATGCTTTGACTTTGAAATCTAGGCATATTTACTTGACGGAATAGAACTATTAGTTATATATCATGAAATATTTTCTCAAGTCATTGAGAATATGTCACGTTTCTTCATGGCGGATTTTCGGAACGCCTTAAACGGCAGCAAATCCCACAAGTTGACTTTCCATGAGAAATAGAAGGTGCGTCATCCATTCACTCTGCCATGTTTCGATTGTACTTGGTATTATTCCGATAGTGTGTTTTCTGAAACAGCAAAAGTGAGATTTTCAGGGGATCCCATGGGCATTCAGGATCTTATAAGTCATAAAGTAACTTCTGAAGTGCGAAACGATCCACTGATACCATGCGATCTTCTTATGATTCGAACCTGAGTCCTTGAACTGATTTTTTGAATGGTTGTGGAATATGTTGTAGAGTATTATTGTCCTTTCGGATAGAGGAAAGATACTCCTTGTTTCCATACTCTGAATGAAGATAAATAAAAATGTCAAATAATAAGGCAAATGTTCTACTTTCAAAAGGCCTAAAAGTGAACTTCAACATTACCAATTCTTCAAAACTCGGAAGGCATTTTGTCACAGTATAAATCATAAGCTTCCAAAGTCGTCCAAACTTCTCCAACTTGTGATACATAAATTATGTGTGGATTCCGCAACGTCTCCGGTGTTGCGGGTGAGTTCATAGTTATCCACTTAACTTTGTAGTTGAGTCAGATCCTTGCTGAGAACGATAATTTATACAAATTAAAAGAGATTTCCTAGAATTTAACCCAGCAGTATATTAACAGGACTACTTTTCCACATAAGCTTTGTCTATGTAAATACTGTTTACCAGCTGAACTACCTGGCACTTCTTTATCCATATCATTACCTATGACTACTGTGGATATGTATTTGATTGAAAACTGTTAAAATACTGAATAGAAAGAGAATTGTTTCAAGCCTGCAACTCTGGTCACTTGACAATCAACATTATAACGCCATCCGATCTTGGCAAGAAAATTAGCGCAGATCCGTTCCGTATGATGGCACCTCAAGTTGCCCAAAAGTACATAACATGCTGAAATTACTGGTTCTTTGATCACTTTCAAGTTGTTCTGCATGTTAGTTTCCTCTGCAATGAATAAATTTTGAAAAGCCTGAAACTTGTTGCTAAGATCTATCTTGAATTCAGTAAATATGTCAGTATCTCGAAGAGATGCCGTTTTGGACTATTGTAGTGCTGAGTTCCCAGTTGTTAGAATGTTCTTCGGCTTCAGTTTGATCTCGGCTACCAGCTAGAAGTGATCTGAAACCAAGTCAGCTCCTCTCTGTGTTTTCATTCCTCTCATGGTCCTTCTGAACTTTTTTCTGATGCTGATGCGATCAATTTGGTTCTCCGCAGTGTGATCCAGTGAAACCCATGTCTCTGTGTGTGCGTCTTTTTGTGCAGGAATATGGTGCCGCCTTCAACTATTTTGTTGGATTCACATATATTTGCGAATCTCTCACCGTTTTTTTTCCTTCCAGTCCATGTCGTTCCACGATATCTTCATATCCGGTGTTGTCCATGCCAACCTGGCAATTAGATCGCCCATCAGACTCGTCCAATTCCTTTGATAAGCATTTCTCGACGGTTGACTGTATCCTGTCGTAGAATTGATCTTTATCGTCTTCATTGTGGGTCGTTGGTAGGTGCATAGTATTGGATAAAGTTCAATGTAATGCACTCTTCCTTTGTTTAATGATGCTTTGATGATCCTGTGTCCATGAGATTCCCATCCTATCAGTGTCTTTTATGCTTGTTTGTACAGTGCAACTCCTTTTGTGTGTGACGCATTTTCTTCTTCAAAGCCGGAGTATAACAGCTGCTCTCCTGAAGCTAGTCTTAGTTGTCCACCCTGTGTCCAATGTGTTTCACTGATTCCAAGCACCTCCAGGTGGTATCTTTTCATTTCTATAGCAACTTGAGTGGTTCTTCCGGACTCCCACATTGTGCGAACATTCCTTATACTTGTATTAATGGGTACTGTGGTTGTGGATAAGGACATCAGTTTCGTGACTCCCGAAAGAACTTGGCTTTCACAATGGGGCATCAGAACTCGTCTGAATGAAGACCTCCAAACGTTCAGGACAGTTTAAATGGTTTGAATTATTTGTTCTGGTTAACTTTTTCTTTAGCAAGTTGATTTTCTACGGGAGATTCACCTTCAATATAAATATCAGTAGGTAACAACGTTTTACGTATAATTCATGTGTACCGGGATACTTAGGAATTGTTACTAGTCCGTAACATTTACAACCCCATCGGTCTTCCGTTCCAAGTTCTCCACATTTGTGTTTTAGATCAGCTGATATGGATCACGTTGAATTCTTTCAGTTAGTTTTCATTGTCCTTACGTACTCTTAATGGCACTCGTAAGTTTCTGATCTGTATTATTCTAGTACTTGAGCAAGGATGCATTCGTTTCATTGAATACCCCACATTATCGTCTGATGACCTTGATTTATTTACATCAGTTATCAAAATCGCTTTCGCTACTGCCAAGTTGTTCGATGGATATCATCCTTTTCTATTCTCGCTAATTCATTTCAAACATGCCGTAAAACACTCATTACCATTTGTGATACTGTGAATCTAAATTGAATGAGAACAACTAAGCAAATGTATTTTAATGCACTAACCCTTAAAAGTTTCATAATTAGTCATACCTAGACATTAAAAAGCAGTTCACCAGGTATGCTTTCCTTGAGAAAGTGAACACGCACCCTCAGGTGATAGCAATTCTTCGCTGAACCAATTTCGCCTGATGAATGTCTTGAAACCATTTGATTTTATAATTATCACTATTCCATATCACTGACTTTTACAGATCGCTTATTTTTAACACTGTTTCCCACTTATTCCCTAAATTTCCAGCACCTAAAACCTTTTGCTCTGCATTTATTGGTTTAAAAAAGTTTCGGAAACATTCATTCTCTATAAACCATTAGAATTTTTTAATTGTTATTATCCACACTGTAACCTCCAGCTTGACAACGTGAAGGCTGTAAGTCCCCGGAAAACCTACTGTTTTGAGATAAACACCATACTTTAAATCGCAGGGTACGCAAATACATAATAAGTGCCTAATTAGATAAAAATACTGTATTTCTGTAGCAAAACTATAACCCATTTTGCATTGAAAAACATATGAAACCATACAAAAACGAGAATTGAGAGCTAAGTAAGCAACTGGCGAAAACGATATTGGATGTTGAATATAGAAATAAGGAATATATGCCCGGAGAAAGACTCGAAGATCCCCTCTGATTAGAGACCACAAATTGAGCTTGCGAGGCATGAAACTCTTCACAAGCGATGCAGTAAAGCAGAGGTGGGTGGCTAATAATAAGTTAACAGCCTTTCAAATGCAGGGAGACTACGCAACAAACAACTAATCGAGGTAACAGAAACATGGTAATGTTGTTTCCGCGCAAACGTCACGAGATGCTTGATTCGAGGGATTTAACGGCCTACCTAAGGTACTGAGGGCCAGGAAATGACTGAGGCAGTACTGCATCTGCCATTCTTCGGGTCTGATCAAATACTCTTCCCTGGAGATTTCAACACTCCATCTCTAAATGTAAGAAAACAGAGTACATCTCCCAGTGGTTGGTGAGACCATTAGAAGCTCTAGGCTGACTGAACATGTATTCTATGGAGCTGAACACCGATTTCGGAAATGCAGGTCGTGTGCATCTAATCTTCTCATAGCAGGAGAGAGTTGGATACCCTACTTGGAATGAAAAATACCGGAGCGCGTAATATTTCTCGACCTTGCAAAAGCCTTTGACACAGTACCCCACTCACGCCTAATCGCAGAGGTTGCGGAAATGGCCTTCACTGACCCACTCTTATCTTGGCTCAGAAACTACCTTGGGAATAAAAAGTTTCGTTCCAAGGTCAATATAAGAGACACGAGCTAGCGAGTGTCCACACAGAAGGTTTCACAGGGGACCATCTTAGGTCCACTTCTGTGCTTGATATTTAATAATGACCTATTAGACCAAGTTAGCTCAGAGGCATTGATCGACACAGATGGTGCGAAGATCTGGGGTCCATCAGAAGTGAAGAGGATTCGGCTGAGAAACAAAACGACCTTACATCTATTGGGGAAACTAAACCAGCACGTACATTCTGCCCCACATGACGCGAAAAATACACACCCTCAATGAAATTCCTCTCACTAATGTCTCCTCAGAGCGCGAACTCGGTTTGATAACCACAGAAAGCATCGATACGAGTTCGAACTCTATAGGGAACGCAGCCAAAGCTTTACGAGAAGACAACTTGGTGCTGTCACTACTGAATTATTCTTAATGTTGTTTAGGACAGATAAGTGCCTACACATTGAGGTTCGTAACGTCTTCGCAACCCCTTACTTAAAAGAATGCTTTCCCAGCCTGGGTGACCACAGTCCTTTCAGTGGATAGCTTCAAGAAGAGACTTGATAATCATATACTCACGGATTATCATTTCCCTCTTGGACAAGCTGTGCATGATACTTATCTTAAGACCTGCTAGTTGTTACCATTGTCATCTCCTCGGATCACTCAGTTAAGTATCTCCCTCATAATTTCTGTTTCCTCTCCCTTGATAACACTTCGATCCTCCTCACAATCTCCACTACAAACTAATAAACCAAATTATATATATACTACTTAGTTCTGAAATCTTTTTCATATTAGCATTAGAAACTTATCCTTATTATATATCTCCACATCGCAGCTAACTGACTTCCGGTCTGGTAATTTATTAGCTGGTGGTCTCCAGAAACCCTACTATCCTGAAACAAACGTTTTCATTCAAATCCCGAGACATAAAAACAATCAATTGCCAACAGTCAAGCGGCTAGACCCTAATTCATTGTACACTACCAAACGCCTGGAACCTTGCTGAAAGAACAAGAATCGAGGGCAAAGAAATCAGTTGGTTTGTACTAGCTTGTGAAAAAAATATTGGACATCGGATTTCGGCCTTATGGTTCGTGGTGGATTTAATTTTAGCGTGCGTTACGTTCTTTGGAACCCAATTTAACAACTAGTTCTGATTATCAGTTTGTCTTCATCTCATGCTAGCTTTATTCCAGGTTGCTGTCTTTTGATTCCTCTACTTAATGTAAGTGCATTGTATTTTCTAACTGAGTTGGCTCAGCTTCATTAATCTTCCAGATAACCTAACACACCTGCACACAAGGTACCTCCTGAAAACAACCAACTGAAGGCTGGATAAACACATCAGTTTTTCATTGTGAATTTTTCTTGGTTTAATTTTTATGTACTTTTGTTATCAGTTTCTCATCTTGTTATCGTAGATAACTGTGAACCTATAGGCTATTTATGTTCCTCACTTTCGAACGTCAATGTGCGCTTTTTAGGATTCATTTGGGCCTTTTAATATAAATAAGGACAGATATCTATGTTAGTTCTCCCCGAATGTGATTCTGTTGATCATTTTTCTGATCTTAAATGCTTGCATAGACACCACTACGTTAACCAGTTTGCAGTAGTTGGATACTTCCTGAAATCTTTTACAAACTAGCATTCTCTATGTTCTCTGACTAGCTTGGACTCGTATGCTGTTATGAGTATTACGGCGAATGTCACTTCCAGGCTCCACTCACCTTGATAGGGGGTTTCTCGAATCTGAAAAAGATGGTATATTAGTGTTGGTTTTAGAGACCTGGAGCGTGATAGCAGAGCACATGGGACAACTGTTTGAGGTCGGCCAAACACGATCTTTTTATGAGAACTTTCAAAGTGTTAGCTCCGCGTTTTAAAAAGCCCTACCTTTGAAGATGGATTTCAGGGGGTTAAGGTAAGGTGTGACGTTTTTAAGGTCAGTCGTTCATTTACAACAAAGATCAGGGCTTTTAATATAGATGCAATATTATGAGGGCGTCATAATTAGGAGCTAAGAGTAACAATTCAATGTTTCTCTGTTGCAACTGTGTCAACCTCCCACGAGTATAGATGCGAGTGTTTACACCACGTTTCAAGCGGCGCTTAAGATACTCGAATTCGGGACCTGTATGGGAAGGGCAAGGTTGTCTAATAAGTGACTTCAATGTTCTGATAGATGAGTAGAAGTTTATTAATCGCGAAATTTCAGTACTGCGTAGAGTGGCTTGTAAAATTAAATCTTTGTACTATCCTATTTGAATTGATGTATGTTCGCACCAAGTTCTACAATATAACTGAATGACTGATGGTTTAATATCAGTGCAACATAGTCCTTTTTTCCTTACAAATTTTCATTTCATATTTAGTTCAATACCATGTAAAAGCCCAGACCCAATTAGTTTTCGTTCTCAACGAACCTCGCTCTTGACTTTTCATTTAGACCAATGATCACGTCAAATTTAACAATAGCAGTGTGTAACCATAGTATATTTATCCGCCATTTCCTCAGTATGATCAAGCTGATATATACCAGTGTTCAGAATTTTGTTATTTTCTTCTTAGCCTCTATGTCCATCGAGTCGGTTTGTACTCTGAAATTTTAAATTCAGTGTCATCGCAAGTCGTGCGAACGAGGTCCATTCACCCTATTATAACAAGGCATTCGGTGCACTTTGTGAAATACTTCCTCATCGCCTGCTTCGTAATTGCAATTTCATTGCTTCATCAATTTAAGTGTTTGCAGATATTCAAGTTTAGGGTTTTTTTAAAAAGTGCATATCGCTATCTTTATTCAGCTGCATTTCACCTTCTATATAATTGCAATTTGTCCATACTTTCACTTATTGTTTGTTCTATTTATGAACTAAAAGTATTCGTTGATACTTTTTTACGTAGTTTATTTAAACTTTATTTTAAAAGTAAGTTTATTATATAAGATAAATTCACATACGTAATGACTTTTATTCAGGTGTTATCATGGAACAGTGCGTCACGGATTGTCTCAATAGTGATGACTGTGTGGTGGTTGTTTGGTCAGGTGAAGTTCTAGAGGATGTTATGCGTGGTCTAAAAATGGCTGTTTCCACGTTTGTTAAGGAGCTTCAGTTCGAAAACTTGGAAAAATTCGCGGGCAGTCCGACTGTAGATAGTTATTTCCACAAGTTTTCCGTTATCTTATGTGGCTGGCCTAATCCGATAAGCATAAACACACTCAAGTTTGACGTGTTATCAAATCTTTTATCCTGTTTACGACCTGGTGGCCGATTTATTGGTCGTGAATCAATTACAGATGATTGGGAATCTCTGGAAAAGAATCTAACAATCTCTGGTTATATAAATCCTTACCAGGTATATTGTTCTTATAGAATGCAATGTAATAGCAACACAAGTTTTTTGACAAAGCTTACATTCCTAAGATTTGTTGTTTTATGTAAAGCTCTGAAGGTTCTATAATCGTTTCAAAACACAGTTATTTTGTTTGATGGATCATGAACAATAGTTATTGTGGTCAAAAAGTAAATAAGAGATCGTAATGACCAGTAGCTTTGTTGTCCAAGCTGCTATACACCTCTTGTTCTCATTGTAGATGTACTAAGTTAAAGTCCTATCATCTATTGACTTCGAACTGGTTACAAATGATCAAAGGAAATCAGTTTAGAGGCATGAATATATACTTACATATAAATAAATTTGAATGGAAGTATTGAACTTCTATCAGTCAGAGTTACCTGAACTAGTTGTCTGGAGTAAACTTTACCGCATGATTTTCCTCATTTACAAACTAAGGTTCGCTGTATTATGTTATTGGAAAACTTATTTACTATAGATTCCAGTAATCGCCATCATTTGCATTGTCTTAGTAGCGACCAGCATGTGCGCTTGTGTACTGTAATTATTATTGTTTTCATCAATCATGCACATTCTAGCCACTATTATGTACTCTACCTGTATGTGTAAACATAGAATTCATACTACTTTTGCATCACTAATATTACAGTCTTGTCTGAGGATAGTCAGTTACTTTGCTGCCTATAATATTCGACGTGACTTAAATGAATTCTGTACATGTGCATGATAAATTTGACCATTGTCAAACATTATTTTATACCTGTACAGAAACATGTTCTTTCTCTTGTTTATGCTTCAGTTGTCACGTGAAAACTACTTAATATTCAGCGCATCTGTTCCGTCAAATTATACCCAGGGTTCCAGTGTCAAACTTTCATGGACTAACAGTGATGTCGAGGCGGCTTGGGAAGATGTTGATAATTCATCTGACGTTAATGGAAGTAGTATAAATACAAATGCACTTCTGCAAAAGTCAGAGTTACGAACTCCTTTAGCTGTCTGTGGAAAAGAGGTTTCAACGGATTCAGCTGGAAAAAAGAAACGAGCTTGTAAAAACTGCACGTGTGGTTTAGCTGAGATTGAAGCAACGGAAAAAGAAGAATCCGATATCCCTATATCATCCTGCGGAAATGTAAGCTTTGATTATGTTTCGATTTCAAGCATGTCTATTTGCGCAGCTTAGTAGTTTATGGTAACAGCGTTATTGGAGAATTAGGTAAATGAAACCACAATGATCAAGTAGACGCCTAAATTTTTAATACAAACAACGCAGTACAGTCTTTCTAAAGTCTAGTTTATTCTAATCTTGAACTTTTCTCGAATTTACTACACAACTTTGCCTCTGAACAATCTGAAGTCGGTGCATATATCCAGCACTGTAAAATATCCGTCAGTTCAATTGCCCTAACATCGGGATTTTCAAGTTGTATTATCAAAATATTTTGGACAATACAATTAGCATATTTTAGTTATTGGAAACAAAGATTTGCGCTTAATTTATGTTCTTGAATATGTAGTAGGAAAGCAGTAACAAGGTAAATCATAGCTTCATGGTTGAATACAAAACTAGCACTTAGAATTTTCAAATACATCAGCTCGCGTTTATCCGTTACAAGGTTATTTTCAACTAAACAGTTTCGATAAGGAAGAACGAAACTCTATCCATGTGAGCCGCCATAACTAAACATCTAACAAATCGAATATCATGTTCTCAACTGTGTAATGAACATGAAAATTTCTTTATATTACTTAGTATACGTAACAATTGCATTCTAAGCGTGCGCGAACCCATGATATGTGGACCTGGGTTCACGGATGGCACAAAAGATTAGGCAAATACAACGCATCTTCCTTCATTTAGTTAATATTTTGAATTACCACCTTTGGTCATGGTGAAATTATATCGTTGTAATAGAAGTAAAACCGAGCTGACGCGTAAAATAAAAAGTTTGTTTATTTTTGGACTGCATTTGATCGCTTAATGTGTATCAATTTACACCACTTGTTTTTTTAATACATTGTAGTGCTACCTTGGAGATGCCTTCCGATGTTCTACATGTCCTTACCGTGGACTGCCACCATTTAAGCCTGGAGAAAGGATTCTGATACCGGACGATATTTTAAAAGCCGATTTGTGATAGCTCGCACAGTAGCCCATCGTGAATCTCTGTATGTCCCTAATGTTAAAATATGTCATACTTTATCAACGAATCCTACCTTTCTTATTATTGTCCTCATTGAGCACCGACTGTAAATAAATATATAGTATAAAATCAGGTCTTAAGAAGTAAATGTTAATGAAGATGTGTTTCGGCATCAAATTAGTTATTGATTGTTAAAATTATCACAAGTTTATTATCTCTAGTGCTCTGGATAAGACCTTACTTTAGTGCCGTTAGATGCATTCTGTAAATGATTTTAACAGTCTTTTATTTGCTCTTTTTTTCGTTTATACAAACATAAATGGAAATGGTGAGCGCAAAATTCACATTAATTGTATCACATCAATAGGTCTCTTCGTATTTTAAAACTTTTCACGATTAACTCTGATAGCTGACCTGATTTGTATGGAAAGAGAGTTATGCAGACGAAATAGTTTGTTTCAGTTGCTTGTATACTGTTGCACAAAGAAACGAGGAAGTTATAATTACAGGATACCTGTATTGTTAATCATAAGATACACGTAGTTCTTTATCCCAAAGTAAATATCCTAATCACAAATAGATCTCTTTTTCCTAAAATGACACTGTCTGCTTCATTGTTATTTTCTACAATGAATACGAGTTTAAAATGCGCATGGCTAGTGGGCACTACGTGACGCTAACAAAATTACTGATGAAAAGGCATCTTGCCAAGAAATTGATAATATACATCGTATATTGTTTATGTGATTTTGATGAGTATACAGAAATCATATGATAGGTTTACAAAAAAGTGTTAAGAATACAAAAAGTTTGAAACAAGATTTGTTAGTAGCGTAATGCATATATAGAAGTTTATCGAAAAGCAATGAGACAAATTCTGTGTCAAATGTAATCCTCATTATCTGATCCTGAGTTTGTTAGTGGTACTGATATGTGTTCGACAAGAGTATTTTTACCTGGCGACGGTTCATAATCGCGAGGTGACTCAGCAGACCGCTCGCTTTGGTCACAGCGCATTGCGAATTCGGTGTAAAATTCATTGAAATCGAGTCTGTATATAAAAGTAAAATGTATCAATTTTAAAGTTCTTAAATCTATAGAAGTTGGAACAATTTATTAAGTTTTCATATTACTAGTTCCTTAAATCTATCGCGAAACAACTATAAATTCTTTGATTTTTACAGCTATGTCAGAATGTATATGTACTTACCAACAGAGATTGAAGCCAATAAATGGAGAGAACTGCTGAATACTGTCAAAACGTTTCACATGAGTACTTTCTGAGACATGTACTGTTTATGTTTTTAGTAATTTCATGTGTTAAGGTTTTCATTTCATGTTGCGGGAGTTTTAGTACAAAATGCGAATATAATATGAACTGCGACAATTGGCGTTAGTATCATAGAGTTCTTACTATCACATGCTCGATTCAGGACACGACTGGTCTTATTTCAACCAATTAGCTCTAGCAGACAAATCAACATTCTAATATAAATCCTATCTAAACTAATTTTTGCGCTACTGTATTTTTTTTTGCGAACTTATTGGAATATACAGTGCTGTCCTTTAGTTATTAAGTTGATCTAAGAAAATTAGAATTCACTATAGTGTCCAAGAGTGCTAGACAGTGAAAGAACATACGAAATGTAATTGATGAAACATAAAACTGAAGGTGATGAAGTTTGAAGAGAATCAACTAACCTTGACACTAGACTTAGTAATTTGCTGTGATGCTTCGCGTATTGCTTAATCTTTTCAAGCAGTTCAACTAACATTCTGTTGAAATTTGCATCGAAGTTCGTAACGGTTTTAGCCATATCATCTGACAAGCTCATTCGACCAAACTCTTCTCTAGTGACCTAAAATTAAGATGTACAATGAATACGTACATAAATAAATAAATTTAAATATTCGAGTTTTATGAATAAATATAAGTTTAGTTTTTTCAGAATGAACTTTATGAAGTTAATGTATGGAAAGTAAAGCAAGTATTATGTGAACTACACTTGTTTGCATATATACTAAGGATGACATTAACAATAGTAAAACAACGCCGACATACATGTAGATAGCCACATATTACAAATGAATGAATAGTTTCACAATCATATGTGGAAAGTTGAATATACGCATATAAATTCAATGTTCTGTGCTAAAGCGACTGCATGAATAGTTCAACCTACATAAATCCATACGATGGAGAAACAGCTGTTCCATCGGTGTGACAAACGCTTAAGAAATGTTTGAAGGCTTCACTCTTATTTTACAGCAATAAATCATAAAAATCTTTCAAGTAATAGAAAGTCAACCAACTAACTTTTGTCATCATAGATTCTACTGAACTAGTGGTAGATTCATGAGGTGCATATTTTAGGCCATTTTTGGTGGGTCCCAAATTTGATGATGGTGTAGGGTCGTGTATAAACGGTCTTTCTATATCATTACCATGTCGGGGTAAATAAATAATACATCGATCATTATCTCCAGGTGATGATAAATTGACTCCAGTTATAGAAAACGCCAAATGTTGGATAAAATTGGCAAACGTTACACAGGCTACAGATAATTTCCCAACTAAACTCAATAGGTCAGGACTAGCAAGTAGACAATCATCCATACATACTTCCAAAAAATGTAGATGTGAGTCTAGAAGTATATCCAAATTAGATACCTACCGAAGAATGAAAAAAAACCAAGAGAATTCAATTCATTCAGGTAAATAATACACGTTTTAAATCACAAAAAAGTGTTCAAACCGAAAAGTACTATCTACTGAGTGGCGACGTTTTGCGGCAAGTTTATAAATTAGGTCTGAAAAATGGAACTGGCACAAGTATTACATGCTTAAAAGGTACTGCCGATATTTCTTAACTGATTAGCTTGCACAGCCTAAATTTCTGCGACAGAACACTCGATACTGCTCTTATTTTCCTGGCCAACTATAACAAGGTTATTCCGTTTGGTAAATTAAATGATTTTGAGACAAAAATATGTATTATAAGATAATAAGATAACATACTTTGTCAACACGTTTGAAAAAATTGTGCCATGCTGGTTCAATGATCTCAACAGACATGTAGTATTGGAAATGTTGAATAAAGGTAAGCATTCGCTGGGCCAGTAGGAAAGCTGTCGTAAACCAGGTTGTCATAAGGTTATCACATTTACGGGCAAGTTTGCCTAGAATCCATGAGCTGAAATGTTTGTTTAAAAGTTAGACGATGGTTTACCATTACATCATCCGTTGAATCAATAGGAATTAAAGGGTTAGTGTCCTATAATTATTTAGTTTCAATAAATATTCATTACACAGACAGTCATTTTTCCGTTCATATACAAGTTGTTGCTGAAAATTCGACACAAATTATCTTAGATTTCGCAACCTATCTATGCACGGAAACTGACCACATTTAAATATCCGGGGACTTTCTTGTAGAAATTGGTGTGCGTCAGGGGCTCAATCTATCCTTCATTTTCTTGAGTGCAGACTAGTTTAACGAGAATTCCTAATAAATTTGTGGTTAGTTTGGTCAATATCAAGGATACTCGTTACTGACAAATCAGATATAAAATTACTGCAGGAGGGTAGCTTGATAACTATAGTGCCTAACCTTCCAGTTAAGACATCCGAGTGATTTAGTTAGACTTTATACGAAAATATGAATTAAAGCTCAGTATAAAAACCAGTATTGGTTACTGACTGATGAGATTTTCATTGGGATATTGGTAAGCATTTAATCCTAATTTGATCTCAGCACTTCGATATTTTCAGGTGGTAAACAAAACGTACTAACCGAGTATTTCTTACTTGCATAGTAGCCTCTCAACATGTTTGCAGAATAACAGATGACGGAAAAGCATTTGATAACGATCCATTACTTGACGATTGAGTACTAAATCAATAGGCCAGCCAACTCTATAGTCCAAACAGAAAGCTTCTAATCCTGAAAGATTTTTATCCTCAACTGGTAAGACGTTGTCTAAATCATAAGTAAATAGCATGTATTACAAAAGTATGCTGAATATAAGCAACAATCAATTCACATCTAAGAACCAATAAAAAATGTTTTAAGATGATGATTAATTTTTAAAAATTCCGGCTATACAATGTACTCATACTTCATTCTAACAGTACATAATAATCGCATCTTAATTGTGAACATTTTCAAAATAAGTCTACCTAAACTGATACTAATGGTATAAATAATGATATAAAATTGAGATACGAATTGGAATGTAAGTGATGATTGTCTGACGTTTCTGGACCACCTTTTTCACATAAGTAAATTAGTTGAGAAATTTGTTTAGAGCGTGAACTAGTCTGTATCCCTGTGGCTTGATATAAAGTGAGTAACCGAACGATAAAAAGTAGCAAGAGCATCACTAGATGAGCTGAATGTATACTAGTCTACAAAAATTGAATGTCATTATAAATATAATGGTACAACTTAAAAATTTCTAATGTTTGAAAGACGATGGGATAGGATATGTGGGCTGTGTTCATTCGGTAAAATATGTACCAGATACTAGTCAAAAATGTTCTTCCTTAATCTTCAGAATTAGGCAGTATAATAGTAATTTATTCAGCCAGTTACAACGTAGAACTTTGTACGTAAATACGTAAGTTTAAGTTGCCATTCCAAATTAGCACAGTAGCAATTGTCGATTCAAATTCCATAGTAGTAGAGAAGGTAGAAGTATTAGTGGTTATGAAGAAGATTATGGTTCGAAGAATTATTGAAGAAATATAATTCAGAGAAATAAATTTTGAAAGGGATAGATATGATGAGGAAGTCAGAATAATAGTCGGTGGTCGGGCATTCGTAACACATGTCCCAACCACCTCAACTGATGAAGTTTCAATATTTCATCTATTGATCTGTCATTCTTACCTAGCACCCGTTTCCTTATAACAGCGTTGTTCACTCGATGGTTCCAGGATACAGAGACAATGCTTCGAAGACACCTTTAGTTGAAAACCAGTAACCTGCGAATATCCTCTACTCTTACTGGCCATGTTTCACAGCCATATAGTAGGAGGGAGCAAACTACTGCGCAGTACACTCGTACTTTGGTTGTCAGACGGATATCTCGCCTACGCCATAAGTGACGCAAGTTGGCAAAAGCCAATCGGGCCTTCTGTATCCGTGCTGAGACTTCGTCGGCCATACTCCATGCCATCAGAGCTGATGAGAGTTCCGAGATAAGTGAAGCGATCGACGCGCTTGACTACTTCACTCCCTATAACTATTTCAGGTGCCGATACAAGCCATTCTTGAAGCGACATTTTGCATTTCGACGCGGAGAATCGCATCCGTAGTCAGGAGACTGCATTTTGTTAAAGTCTTCAAGAAGTAGAACTATATGACCGGCATATTCTAGGTCTACAACCGTGTCTCCTGGTAGAAGGTTCACCCCTAAAAAGTCAGATGAAGATAATATTATCTCTAAAAGAATGTCTATGACAAAGTAAGGGAAGAATAGAGAAAGTGGATATTGTTGAATGAATTCGGATGACAGTTCGCCATAGGCTGTCACTCAACCAGTAGTGTTCGGGTAGAGAGCTTGTATAATGCAATGTGCTTCTCTGGTACATCATTTAATGACAGACACTACGACAGATCCTCATCGATCGATAGATCGGAAATATCAGTGACAGTGAATTTTTTAGACGAACGTTTGTTATTCTAAAGGCGTAGAAAAGTTCCCCTTTTAGCATTAATAATATTGCTTAGACAAATGGGAAAATTAAGCAATAGAATTTTGCAATAATTCTTTCAATTTTTGAATAACTGAAATTACATACTGTAAGGTAACAGAAATAATAAAATGACAAGGTTGTTAAAATTTAATTTACCTGGTTCATCTTCTGATCCAGCACGTAATACCATCAAAATTTGAGTGATTAGATCAAACTGAAATATTACAACACTAAATGAAAAATAAACAGAGAAAGCAATAAATTTACTTTGAAAATATCACCATGAAAAAGCACGAGGTCGATTCAATGAAGTTCAAAATATGACTAAACTAAAGTATTACTTAAATACAATAATGGCATTGATTTTTAGATTTAAAACATTTTTAGAAACAAATTTTACTTACACTAAATTATCCTTGAATGGGTCACTATTAGCAGTGCTAGTACGAAGTGCCAGTTCCAATAAAGAACTTAATCGTAGTTGAGAAATAACTGTCAAGAAAAGATAAATACGTGACGGAAAATCCAAACGTTCAGTCAATTGGAATGGTAAAAACGTAAATATCATGTTTCAGATCATATTATCCTAAGATACTTGAAAAACGTTTTATTCAGCTAATTCTTTAAAATATATATCACAATGTACAATAGTATTTTCTAGGGTAATGAACACAAATAACTAACTATGGTATACACATGCGTAATTATTATTTAGCCAGATTCTCATTTACCTTCGCTATTTTTACGCAATTCTACTGCAGCGGCATCCATAAAATGAACAATAAAATCACCCTGATCCAACAAAAAGAAACGTTTAACAGATCTGCAATACAAATAAATAAAAGTAGTTATCGCCTTTTATCATAATGCATTTTCATTTACTGCAGCAAGTTACCATAATATTACAAATCAATTTATTGTGTTTAAATGAACACATTCTTGAAAATATGTAACGAGGTCTATTCAACGTGATTTGTATAAAAGTAAGCAAATATAGAAAATACATACAATCACAAAGAAGCAGTCAAATAAAACGAAAACTATTAAAAGTAGCTTTCCAGAGAGAGGGTTACATAAATTTTACATCTTAAAGGCGTTATTCTGTGAAACAATAACAACTCGCACTGTGTGAGTGGAAATATTTTAATTCAGCATCAAAATGTGTGATAGATAAGTTATTTCCTCTTATTATTATTATTCCTGTTATATCAACCTTTCTTCCTTTATTTCCAAGTGCCATTTAATATGATATCTATTGCTCATACATTATTACTATTTACTTACACAATTACTGTTATTATATGAACAGACAAAAGTCTCTCTCAACCTAATTAACCTTCTATTGCATAGTCTGTTCATTTTATAACTACATGTATGAATTTACAGGTTACATAATGTCTGATCGCTTATTTGTGCTTTCGAAATTATCCACTTTTTTTTTATAAACGCTTAGTCAATCGTTTTACTGTACAACTAAGATGAAAAACAAGCGGGATATGTTTTTTTCGTTTCACTAGTCTATTTTTTAAAATGTAAGACTGAGAACAGATGTATCGCTGAAAGAATATTCTTTATTAAATGAGAGTCCTAGAAGTCATTATTGTACATAAAGCCATTTTTAAGCAAGCTGAATTTGAGATTGAATCTTTCAGACCATTATGCTTAATTTGCAACTTTTGCGCACATCTAGCTGAAAGTGAGAATAGATATCTCCTAACGAAAATCAAACGGTATATACAAAAATAGAAAATTCACTAAAACCAGCAAACTGAGCTATGAAATGCAATAAACAACTAGTAATGTGAAGTATACGTAATGTCGGAGAATTCTCCATTCTATTACATACTATTTATTTCGAATAAAATTATTGTGATTTAAGTTATTTAATGTAAATGTAATAAAATTACTTTAGGTGTTCTTTTAAATCCTTTTGTTGCAACATCAATTTCAATAATAAACTGCTTGCATACAGATGAGCTTGATCAATTTTATCAAGAAACAATGAGTGATCTTTATTATAAACAAGTTCTTCGCAAGGAGGAAGTTCATAACGATCAGCTAAGAAATTATAAGTTGAAATTTTGAGTCATCACAAACAAGTTATAACAATAACAGGAAAGAAATACATAGTACAATTTCGGTTAAGATATTTAGTTTAATGGCGGTTGATAGCCGTGGACTATCTAGTGTTAAGAGAAATTAATGTAATGTGATTACACAGGGCGATTACCGAAAATAAGCGAGTGGTTCAAACAAATAAAAAATGAACTGTTATTTTAAAATTTGCAGGCTAGAATAATAGGTAACTCACAGGATTGAGCAAAATCGATTGAATCATATCATCAGATAATAGTTATTTTGGAATCACTGGAATACTCAATGTATAAGGAGATGCACAACTTAAAAAAGCACTTAAGCTGACTTTTCGATTTGCAATGATGTGCTCCGCCTGCAACCCCTCCAAAACTACTGCCGGTTCCAAGCCCAGATAAAGTAGGAGGGATGAGCTTGGGACTGGCAACGCCATCCCGAAAAAAACTGACTCTCTAAAAAAGCGCAAGGGAAGTCAAGCCGACAATGACAAAACGGTGATATCCTTTGACGTAACAGCCTTATTCACTTCAATAGAGCCAAGCTAAGCCAAAGAAACTCTTTCCTTTCTACTCACTAACGACACAAATCTGAAAAAAAACGAAACTTCAGAGACAAAGTCTCCTAGAACTCACCGATCTATGTTTAACAACGTATTTTCAATTCAACAACAAAATCGACGAAGAAGCTAAAAGAACACCAATGGGATCGCCAATATCATGACTCATCGCGGAAGCTGTAATGCAGAAACTAGAAGCGTCGGCTTTACCAGTGATCAAGCCCAAAATATGGGTTCGCTATGTACACGACACGTCATTATGAAAAAGAACGAGCCGGAGAATATCTGCTTTCGGATCAACAATGTCTTCGATGACATAAAATTCACGATGGAAAAGGAATCAAACAACAAACTTTCATTCTTGGATGTACTAGTCACCTGAACTGACAAAGGAAAACTGGAAACTCAAGTATTTCGGAAGCCAACTGACACGGACCTGAATCCCAACTACAGTAGCAACAAGCCAAGAACTCACAAAATCAACTGCATACATAAACAACAGAATCACTTCAATCAATCTTATGTAGACTAAAGGTCAAAATAACGAAAGAAGAGCAACCAAATATCATCTACAAAATAAATTGCCCAGATTGTGAAAAACACAAATTAGAAGTAAGTGGACGTCTTCTTCAGCTTCGTTTATCTGAACACCAGTTAGAAGTCAAACGCCATGACATTTTTTCGATTATATCAGTACATGCGGACAATGATGGGGATAGGAGGAACGGGATGACCACTTTATGCAATAATTCAGTCGAGCCTCAGTCACATGTCGGTTGCCCACAATCTCCAGAGTCTTCACGAAGTTGAGAAAGCTTTGAGAAATTTGAAGCCAGGGAAAGCAGCAGGATCTGATAGATTGACCCCTGAGATTTATAAGGATGGTGGTCCAGTTTTAACATTTAGATTGACTGAAATCTTAGGTAGAATCTGGGAACTGCGCGTAATACCATCTGACTGGTCTCAATCACTGATTGTCCCAGTCTATAAGAAAGGAGAAAAGTCCTCTTGTGACAATCACAGAGGGATAAGTCTAACTAATATAGTTTCTAAAATACTGGCCTCAATAACACTTCGGCGCTTAACGAAAACTCGTGAAGAGCAGACTAGAGAAATCCAGGCTGGTTTTCGACATAGACGTGGCTGTATAAACCACACTTTCACACAATGCTGGTCCTAGAACAAAGACACGTTCAGGCGACCCACAAAAGTAGTATTTCTCGAACGTAAAGTAGCGTTTGATTGTGTGGATCGTAACGTTCTGTGGCAGTGTCTGTCATCAAGAGGTGTACCAAAGAAAGTACATTAACCTTATACAAGCTCTCTTCTTGAACACAACTGGCCGCGTGAGAGCTTGTGGCGAACTGTCAGCGGAATTCTTTACTTCAAGTGGTGTCTGTCAGGGATGTCCACTCTCTCCATTCTCGTTTAATTTTGTCATAGACATGCTTCTAGAGATAACATCATCTTCGTCTGAATTTTCAGGAAAAGACCATCTACCAGGAGATTCACTTATGCCGACGGCATATTTCTGTTTGGTGAAGACGCTGATAAAATGCAGTGTCTCCTGACTATCCTCAGCAACGATGCAAGCATGTTTGGGATGCGATTCCCTCGTCAAAATGCAAAATGTCGCTTCAAGAATGGCTTGTATCGGCACCTGAAATAGTTATAGGGAGTGAAGTAGTCAAGCGAGTCGATCGCTTCACTTATCTCGGAACTCTCATCAGCTCTGATGGCATGGAGTATGGCCGACGAAGTCTCAGCACGGATACAGAAGGCCCGATTGGCTTTCGCCAACTTGCGTCACTTATGGCGTAGGCGAGATATCCGTCTGACAACCAAAGTACGAGTGTACTGCGCAGTAGTTTGCTCCCTCCTACTATATGGCTGTGAAACATGGCCAGTAAGAGTAGAGGATATTCGCAGGTTACTGGTTTTCAACTAAAGGTGTCTTCGAAGCATTGTCTCTGTATCCTGGAACCATCGAGTGAACAACGCTGTTATAAGGAAACGGGTGCTAGGTAAGAATGACAGATCAATAGATGAAATATTGAAACTTCATCAGTTGAGGTGGTTGGGACATGTGTTACGAATGCTCAACGACCGACTGCCTCATCGAGCAATGTTTTGTGGTGTAGGAATAGGTTGGAAGAAAGTTAGGGGCGGCCAGAACAAAACATGGCAGAAATGCATGAAGTCATTGACAAGTGGACTGAGTCATGTGGGTAGATGTAGGCTACCTGGTTGGGGTCCGTGAGATGATAGTAACTGATGGTTAGAGATCGTGAATGACGTGGCTAGAAATTGTTTGCAATGGAACAGATGCATCTATTCTTCGTCTTCTCCCAAATTTTAACCCTCCGAATTCCTCATAACCGTTTTCTCTCCTTTTTGATTGATTCATCTGGGGTGTACACCTCGAATGATATTTTTTATCATTAGTTTATTGTTGAAAGTTAATAATTCTACTATTTCTACCACTATGGGATTTAAATTGACAACTGAGTATTTGTGCTAAGGTAGTATGGCAACTCGAACTGATGTACGTACGTACAAAGTTCTACGTCGTAACTGACCAACTGACTGAGAGATGTGCTCATAATTTATTTAAAAGGAAAGAGAATGTAACAAGCTACTTTGATTGCTATTAGTTGCAAATAGAAATGGGGTACTTGACTGCAGCTGGAAAAATTTGTTACTCAATCATAATACAATCGTGTAAAGTTAAATTACTGATGTTTCGATCTCTATACCTTCATGTAACTCGTTTCTGTTAGTTCGAAACATGAGTTAATCTACACAGTTGTCATCTTTACGCATAGCTAAACACAAGATTCACATTAAATAGGTAATTTCGTCAGTGTACATATATTCATTACAAGACGTATTACGGATATCTGCTTTTCATGTTTATGTACACTAATTAGGAAAGTAATTATTTCTTTGTTTTTAACTAGAAATACTATCATTAACTATTGGCCATCCTTATTCGTAGCTATCTAGAGAACGCAGTGAACTTTAGCAACAATCGGATTCCATTCATTAAACAATTGCAACGCAGAAATCTATCTATATGACCAGAGATCGCTTAATAAGCATCACAATATCGCTTACCATTGGTATATAAGGCTACAATATATAAAGGCAAGAAACCTGGATTTTGTTTTTATACTCTTTTATCAGCACGTAATAAAAAGAAAGTCTGACTACACGACTAAAAATCTTAGGGACATTGACACAAATGCTACCTTTAAACCATCATTGCTAACTGGCCCAAAAGTATGAGATGAAGTGTGCTAAAGCAAGAGACAATCAAAATTATGACTAATATTTTTGAAATGATAACTTGACACATCAGTCACTTTTTTCCTCCGCATTGCTTATAGTAGGCTTAACCATAAGAGTTGTGACAAGAACTATGTAAAGAGAAATGATTCATTTATACAAAACGTCACCTTCAAAGGACATACCGCATTGCTGTACAACATTCAAATACTTCCCTGTACTAAGAATTTTTGAAGCACTAGGTTCAAGAAAACTTGGTAAATTTATTGATACAAGAGAATAATGACACTCCCAAAAGAATGCCCAATCCACATAATTCTGTGTGAAACGGTCGAATTGCAGTGAAGCTGAATGAAGGTTGTTTGGAGATGATTTACCAGGATCATTAAAATTTGGCATAGACCCAGCTGAAATGAAAAACTATAAATTCATAGAATTAAATGAATGTCTGATCGGTAAATTATTTAAAACAAATTTGATATTTTCACTCACTTATTATCATTAAAAGCTATTCAATATGAGTACGAAGTCATTGTCAAGCTCTTTCATGGATTAAACGGTAATACATTATATACCCAAAGAAATGCAATGTCCACTTATTTAGTTACACCTGTTAACCCCAATAGAGCATAGGCCGCCGAACAGTATTCTCCAACCTAGTCTATCCTAGGCTTCCCTTTCCAGTTCTGTTCAACTTTTGTCCATTCTTCTCATGTCTGTCACAACTTTTCGGCGTAATGTATTCCTTGGCCTTCAGGACTCCGTGTGAGAGTTTGTTTTGTATAGCAGTTGTGTAATTTATGCAATGCGTGTCCTTTCCACTTTCAGCGCTTCTTTTTGATTTCTTCCTCCACTGGAATCTGGTTTGCTATTTCTCACAGTAGGTTGTTGCTGATGGTGTCTGACCAACGTATCCCGATTATTTTGCGAAGACAACTATTAATAAATATTTGTCTGATGGTCATGCTGACCTCTTCGATTGTTGGTGGGCCATTATCGGTTGGTAGGGGCGTGGATGCTGTTTTGATGTTGGATAGGTTCAGTGGGTTTGGTCGATACAAGAGTTCCTTAAAGTGCTCTACCCACCTGTTTCGCTGTTCTGCAATGTTGCTGATTACTTTGCCTTCCATGCTTTTCATTGGTCGTTCTGGTTTACGAAAGATTCCAGAGAGCTTTGTTGCATCATTCAAATGTCTCAAGTGTCCTTCTCTTGCATCCTTTCCCACCGACAGTGCTAGATCATCCACATATTTAAGTTTGTCGGTACAAATGCTCCTCTTATGATATGGTCGAAATTAATACGAGTTCACCATACTTGCGAAAAGCAACGAATCACTGACAGGGTAAGCTATACTAATCCGTTGCCCTAACAGAGACCGATTCCTTGTGCTGGTACTTCTTGTGGCCCAGGACCTCCTGACACGTTGAAGTGGTTTCCTTCTTGATCATATTCCAATTGTTCTCCATGGCTGTTTCCTCTCCATTGAGTAGATAAGCATGCAACCTATTGCTGAGGGCTAGCTTAAATTCACTGAGCTTTCCAGTATCACGAATAAACACCACATTAAAGTTTTGTGATGTCTGTCCCGCTGTGCGTTGTTTCCTGAGTTTCGATTTCATTTTGGCGATCAGCAAGTGGTGATCTAAGTCGATATCAGCTCCTTTCTTTGTTATCACATCCTCCATGGTCCTGCTGAACTTTCTGTTGATACAGATATGATCGATTTGGTTCTGTGATCCATGTGGCTTCTATGTGGCTTCGTGTACCCTTTTATTTTGTAATATGTTATCAATTCCAACTTCGGCATTAAGATCTCCCGTCAGAAATGGTCAAATCGTTTGTTGGACATTTCTCGACAGTTGAATGCAGCCTCCCGTAGAATTGATCTTTAACGTCTTCATTGTGGTCGTTAGTAGGTGCATAGCATTGGATGACGTTCATTGTAATGCCCTTTTCCTTTGTTTTGAATGATGCTTTGATGATCCTGGGTCCATGGGATTCCCGTCCTATCAGTGTCTTTTGTGCTTGTTTAGACAGCATCAGTGCGACTACTTGTGTGTGTGACGCATTTTCTTCTTCAATGCCGGAGTATAACAGCTGCTCTCCTGAAGCTAGTCTCAGTTGTCCAGCCTGCGTCCAATGTGTTTCACTGAGTCCAAACACCACCAGGTTGTATATTTCCATTTCCGCAGCAATTTGGAACCGTCTTCCAGTCTCACACATTGTTCGAACATCCCATGTACTTAAAACGATGTTTGCCATGATTGTGAGAAGGGGTATTAGCCTCATGACTTCCAAAAGAACTCATCATGAGACGTCTTAACTATTCTGTAAGAAGACCTTCTAACACTCAGGGCAGAGTTTAAATGATTTGATTAGATTTTTCTGGTAAGGGTTTTTGCAGCGAGTTAGTTTTCTACGGAACAGAGTCACTAACCTCATGTCCAACCCACTCTATTTATCAGGACTTGAGACCGGTAGAACCCACAGAAAGGCTCCACTACTAACAGTTAGAGATAACTTATGTCAATTTAATTGAAAACCATAGATTCTGAAGATAATAGGATTCAAAATTATGCAAACAAATAAAGCTGAGGCTGATTTCCAATATTTTTACCGATGGAAACTTATGTATGTACAGCAGAGAAAACGGATCGCATAATACCAAAATATGTAGCTGATCCCTATCCCAGCTGTCTTCCAGTTACTAAAACGAAAATCACACATTTCCAGCGATACACATTCAGACGCCCCACAATAGTAGTATTTCTGGACCTTACAGAGGCATTTGACTCTGATGATCGTGAAGTTCTGTGACAATGTCTGCCACTAAATGTAGACTACGTATTTTGGGTCTGCGATATGATAGTATATATATATATATATATATATATATATATATATATATATATATATATATATATATATACATAAATGTATATATCGCTTGGCCTTGAAGTGTGAGCTGGTGAGGCCGAAATTAAAGGAAAATACTGTATACAATATGTTTTGTTTTAAAGGTTAATGAGCATACATTTTAAATCAGATATTGGTAAAGTATGAATAGTTAGTATTTTGAGCTTTTAACTAATCGTTGTCTATTTTCTTGATGGAGACTGAGAGCAGTTTTTATACATAATATTTTTTCACAAGAACGTTCATAAAGAAACTATAAACTAGCTGACTAACCTCTTTATATGGGTCAGAAATCACGCCCCGATATATCCATTTTTGAAGAATTTTAAAGAAGGGAACGGTTGCCTGATATAAAACATATCATAAAAACATAATTTAGAATGGCTGGAGGCAAGAGATAGAAAACATAAAGCAAAGCACAGTACACAGGAGATATACTTGAATGCAAAAAATTGCACTGATATTTACACCCAGACAGAATTCGTAGTGAAAACGTACTGAAATATTTCCACTAGTGAAGTGAAACAAAACTGGAGTTCGATATTTAAAAAGGATAATGGAGATTTGTTTTTATCCCCAAATAAATCAATCTAACCACAACTGACTAACATTTGAGCATAATAAATGGATTTTATTTTATTTCTTTTGGTCTACGCCAGCTGTTTACAACCTATAATATATAAAATCATAGTCACTTATTGGATCTACATTACCACATAAGTTGAAATTACCGTATTGCGGAAGGTATGGCAAGTCTGTAAATATATTTCTTAAATTGAAATGATGAGTCAGTTGTTATCAGACAACCATTAGAAGGAACCTGGAAGCAATGGACGGCCAGAAGACTAAAATGTGCCTGTTTACTAATCACCTCGCAAAATCTAGAGGATCAGACTGATGTTCGGTAACCAACAAATGTTGAATGATTTCACTTTTGAAGGTACACCTTTCCTCTCTTCGAAGGCTTCAAGGAATAGGTTCAAAAAATCTAAGGTATGCTCTCCTTTATTTTCGGTTAACTTAGATGCCTTGGCAGGTACACGTAAATTTATGGATACAGTTAGCGGTAACGCCGTTGTTATCCGGCGACTGAAATATTTCTTGTCTGTTTAGAAAGAGATGATTATGAACCTTTCTTTACCTTGGTGATTAGATCACAAGTTTTTGTTCAACATTTTCTTTTACCCAATTACTTTATTACTTTTTACTTCGATTGGCTTCTAGATTAGCAATCTTATTTTAACTTACTGAGTCTTACGTAACCACTTGTTTCTATCCCCTCAGATTTTTGTTATCATCAATCTTGGTGAATATTCTCTCGTATAATGTGCACTGCTGATGAGTCGAATACTAGGACGAAAAGGACGCCAAGTGCCGCCAGGTTTTTAATGGTGGTCTAACAACGATCGATTCATTATTGCAATATTAGAAATATATTTACACCCTTTTATTCAGCCTATTAAAATCATTTACAGCCTTGCTGTTCTTCACCGCAGTACCAAAATTCCAACTTCCAAATAAACACTTATGTGAATAATTTAAATCCAATAAGTGACTACGATTTTATATACAACCGGTTGTAAACAGCTGAGGAGAATCAGAAGAATCACTTCATCTAACTTTGCTTAAATCCTTCTTCTTGTTCCCTTCGAAATGATATACGCCACTATGAATATGATCTGTTGTATTGATTGAAGATTTTAAAAAACAGTCACAATGAATGGAAAAAGCAGCCCCAAAAACATCAAAAACGTTTGACGTGGCTATCGACGCTATCTCCGGAACGCGCATCCCGGATCCGAAAACAGTCATTCATTTGACCTCGTCATATCAAAATAAAGAACCACCGCGATTTACGCTTCGTATATCCGCAAGCCGCACTGCTGCTTCTCATGGCCTCCCTGGTGTAGGTACAGCATCAAGTTCCAAAGCACAAATAGTTGTCTTAGACTAGATCGTTTGCCATGGGGGAGATTCATACTTTTTCTGTTCTCTCATATTGCAATCTTCTGTATTCCTTTTAATTGTTTCTATTTCCAAATAAACCACACTGGAATTTGCTTTTAGGATTATATCCTTGAACCCTAACCTCCGTTACGGTTATTACTTCTACTTCCTCCGCTAGTATGGGATTCGAAACAATAACCGTGTCTCTCCATGTTGATATGGTATGGCAACTTGAGCTGATATACGTACATACGAAATTCCACGTTGTAGATGATCGATTCATTGTTCTTCCCACACGCATGGCCTTTTGATGGAAGGGTGGTAAAGTTTCAGCTGCGCTCTTTAAGGTGACTTACAGCCGGATACGGAAATCTGTGAAGGTGAGGAGGGACATTTTCAGGGTCGACCTTTACTAACCCTTCCTTTCTTGTGAAAAGGGTGCATCGCTGCAGATGCTGGGTGTGTGAGGGAGACAGCTTAATGCTATCACACCTCTCTACAGTCAGCAGTACGACTTCACCCTCAGACCTTAAGTTTCTGCTTTAAGTTTCACCGTTCTCAAATTGACTTGCCTGACATGGTAAGATCTACAGGAACATATGTTCCAGCCAATATAGCTTGGTTGGGTTATCCCGATAAGCAAGTCTGACCACCTACATCAAGGTAGCAGACTAGGTTTGGCAGTAAGATGTAATGCCATGAAAATAGGAATCGATGAATAAGAAAGATATCTGTTCGTTCTACAGGACTATCGGCTTAATCGTAGATAGAATAAAACGCAATCGATTGAGAAATTTTTGGAGAACGCTCCATTTGGTTGTTATTTGTTGGTTATCTTCACAGAAAAAAATTCAGCTATAAACTGGGTATTTTGTACCTTTCAGCGAGTAATACTCTTTCTAGTCAACGAATCTTTCTAATCCATTACAAGTGCGTTGCATTCCCAAAGGCTTATTTGAGGTGACCTGTGTTCTACAAGTGACGCTATATGAGCATGTATCAAGATGCATGACGCAAACCAGTACATCTAGATCAAGTGAATACTTGACATTATATACTTCTCAATACTTTGTTCATGAAATTCTTTGTAGTGTCGTTGCTAAATCTGAAATGTCTACATACATGAAATTAGCTGCTTAAGATGATTAGCCATCAGAATGCACACTTAGAACTCTGTAAAGAGAGGTGATGTTACCTAAATATTTATGATTGGAACAAATGATTTCAGGGAAATGTATTAGTCGATGTTTGAGAGCTGTATGACAACATTTAAGTACCGGCGAAATCTCTACCAGTGTCTAACGAGGAAGTAATGGGAATTATAGATATCCTATCACTAGCACAGTGATTCAGACAATTTGAGGACACAATGAACCGGCTGTAAATAATGAACGGAAAAACCAGCCCCAAAAACATCGAAAACGTTTGACGTGGCTATCGGCAAGGCAAGAATCTGTATCCACTTTGCCTTCTAACAACGAAATGAATCGGTTAGAAAAGGTCGACCATCAAAATGTCCCTCTTCACCTTACCTCATGGATTTCCGTCTCCGGTGGTAAAGCCATTTGAAGAGCGGAGCTAGTACTTCCAATAAGAAGGCTGTGCGTGACCAGCATCAAGCAGTTGAGCCTTGGGCTGTGGTCACGCTCGCAGGTAACTGAGACCAACACTAATCCAACGTCGTTCTCACGTTCCTCAAGAAACACCCTTCCACAGTCTGGAAGCGACAAACGCTGTCATACTACTAACAGCACACAAGATCAACTCGCTCACAATAAAATCCTTCCTATACCTCCTAATAACTCTCTTATTTGAACGACTAACCCTTCTAATGTTCCCATATCACCTGGAGCCGCTAATGCTAGCGATTTACATACACGAAAAGTTATTACTGTTCTCCCGGAACCACCGCCATCTCGCGACATCGATGTACGCCATCTCCGAAACGCGCATCCAGGATCCGAGTACATTAATTCATTTGACGTCATAAAGTCAAAATGCTGTTTTATCACCTCGCGACGCTAATGGTAACGGTTCGACTGCACGTGGCGTTATTCCTGGTCTTCCAAAACCCCGCTCGAAACTACATGTAAATGATAATGTCCGTACCTTGAGCAAAGAAGGCAACAGGCTTCCTTAGTTAAAAAGTTAGAATATTGCGCAATCCATCCAAGCAGAATCAGTCATCTGACCTCTGATTATCAACATAAAGAACCGTCTCCATTTGCGATTCGTGTACATGGAAGCTCAAATACTGCCTCCCGTGGCCTCGCTGGTGATGGTATTGCACTGAGTCTTAAGGCTGAACAGGCTGACTTAGACTTGTAGATTATGCGCTTTCAGAATAAACAGGAAAGTAAGTTGTCGAAAAACAGGGACGCGTGCAATCGCCTCTTCATAGGCTCTGCCTTAGCCCTAATAACTGCAGCTCGGACGAGGTGAAAGATGAATTTTACACGTTGGTAAATGTAGACTATGTGGTTGGGGTCCGTGAGATGACAGTAACCGATGGTTAGAGATCGTGAATGACATGGCTAGAAATTGTTTGCTATAAAGCAGATACATACATTCTTCGTCTTCTCTCAAATTCTAAATGGATTATACTCCTTGATAAAATATCTTTGAGCCATAATCTTCTCAATTACAGCTAATACTTCTACTATCTCTACCACTATGGAATGTGAGTCGACAATTGCAAATCTGTGCTGATTTGGTATGGCAACGTGAACTGATGTACGTACGTACGAAGTTTTACGTTGTTGCTGACTGGCGGAATTTTTTCATGTTTTAAATGACTATCTGGTTAAGCAAGCCAGCTAACAGTTGTCGTTAGGCTTACTTAATCAAAGCAGGGAAGAGTTGTAATAACAAGCAATATACAGTAGTTTTTAGGGGATTAGAATGACAATCGCATTCTTATTTGGTGTGATTGAGTAAATGCGACCAGTACTACTGGACAGAGACTTCGTGTCACTAGGTACTCATCACGTAAGTGTATCTGCGATCGTGGTGTAACTAATACTCCTTGTTGCATTCACACCTGCATCACCCAAATAAATCCATCATACTTTGTTTCACTGATCACATTTTATCAATTGAGATGCAAACTAGGAAACCCGAATTCGGTTACTACTTAGTTATTAATTGATCTTATTCACTAATGACATTGTGATTAATAGGTAATACGTACTTAACTGAAGGGAAGCAAACTATTCGATTTCTTGATGTGTACATCTAAACATATTTGTCGGTGGTAACTTACGTTCCAAAGTGGAAATAATATGCTTTAATTCAGTTATATCATAGTTAATAAACTGGTTTTCCTATAAAACTAATAGTTCAGAATACGTTATCTTAGTCACTGTTATGAAATTAATATAAATAGCACATAAAAAAACACTGAAACAATGTGTGTATCAACAACACATCAACTTAAATATCTTTTCAAACTTACAGAACGCAAGAGATAAAGCATTAAATCATGTAACTGTTTAACACCATACACAGACCTTAAAGAATCGTACAATACGGATAACACTGCACCACCAGAACATTGTCCCATGTTTATATTATTAACAAGGCGAGTTAACTGATTAAAAGCAGTAGCTGTTTCCTTTATAAATGAAAAACAATATATTATTACAAGTGAAGTTTTATAAAACATACAATTTACATAGCCTAGCTAATCTATAAATGAAGTAACCTGAAAAACATAAATGGCAACTTTTTCATATCCTAAAGTCCTTATTTTGTGATCAATGTTTTAACGTTTTTCAACTCCTCGAAACAAAACAGTTGTCACAATACAATTGCAGATTAGAAGACTTATATCACTCCTTAGAGATGTACCCCCATTTATTTATAGAATCCAACTATACTTCACGTTTATGAGGGTCATAAACTCGTGTAACCGGATTAATAATGAATTACGGTATCAGTTTATTGCTTAGGTAATAAAACAATCCCATTTATCTGCAAAAGCTCTTGTTTTTATATATTCCGATGGTCCAACGATATGGAATTTTTAAGAACTATGTGTGATATATTTTCAGTATACATTTTGAATAATCAGATTGCACTTTTACTTGTCAATATATTTGTACATAAAAAAAACAAGGTATATAAGGTAAAAACAGTATACATCATAGAACTCCAGAGAGTAGATCAATATTATCAGGATACGTTTGCTAAAGGCAGAAATAGTTTTGAACACACGAAAGAGGTTGGAACGCGTGTACGGCCATCGCTTCAACAAATTCAAGTATTCCTACTAAACAATTTTTATGCAACAACATTGCAAAGTCTGAGTTAAGAATAACCGTATGATCTGTTTCAACTATATTTGGCGATAGAAGATAAGTGTTTATCATCTTCTCTTACTAAGTTATTTTGAAACAACTATGGGACTGTGAAACTTCACATCCTTCTTACTTTACATAATACTGTAATACGTTTAATTAATGCTTTAGAGCGCCACAGTTCAATGGAACTGTTGTGTTTCATCTTCATAAGTCCACAAATTCTAATTACAAAATTCAACCCGAGTGGGAAACACAAAATTCTTCATAGCACTGAAACTTTCAGTTGATGATTTCATAGACAATTATTACAGATTGTTTAGATAATTACAAGTAGGCTTACATGTTGCTCATATACCACCTCTTGTCATAAAACAATCAAAGCGTTGTTTTGTGGGATATCAACTGTGTAAAGACTAAAACATTAATCTATTAAATAACTCATAGTACATAGTCCAGAGTTCCAAGCAATAAATCAATGGTTAGGGTTAAATTGAGTAAGAAACTTATGTAGTTTCATCGAGAGAAGGAATAATTAACAATAGGGACTGAATAACAATATACTTGTTACTTATGAATCCAGTTAGGCTGTCAGTGCCAACTAATATCAGTGAAATAAATCGCAGGGTTATGACACACAAGTTAGTAATTTTTAGAAGGTCTGGAATGCTGGGTAGAGCGTTTCAAATGATATTTCACTTATCTCATTACCACAAAGAAAACTTATGGGGCTCTCGTATTGTACTGTCGACCTGTCGTATACGAATGAAGATTAGAATGTATAGTAACTCATTCGATTAAATTATGGATCGTTGGTGTATATAATCCAATTGTATGATTATTAATTAACTAAACTATCAAGTATATATATATATATATATATTCCCTTTATCATAAGCTTTCTATGGATTCATAAATTATTATCATATGAGGTATTGTTCCTACTTTGTTGACCGTTTATTGGTTCGATTGGAGCAATTTTGTATTGGGTCATTGTTTGAGTATAGAGTAGAAAGTCTTTTGTCTTTGTTGCATATCGGTTACTAAAAGGTAATCTGTGGATCGATCGACGTAAAGACATAACACGACCCATCCAAGAAAGTCGAAGTCTGAAAGAAACTCCAACTTCCGAAGCACCACAATTCATCAAGCCTATACGACCCCTTCTCTCTTCAAAGATGGCGGGGAACTTCTGCTTAGAGAACTGTCTTGATTGTTGAGTTAACACTCCATCATTTTGAAATGAAGCAATTTTCGTACCTATACACGAAAAAGCCTGAATAAAGCGTGTGCTTATTCGGATCTGACCTTAATTCCACTTAAAATATCGGCTTTCATAGAAAACTGCCAACTGTGAGAAATTCCCGAAATAGATTTACAAAGAATACGTAGATTTCTACCAGCGTCCGTAATCATAGTTCTATTCACTGAAGAATAGCAACTGTAACATTTATTGATGTAAAAATTGGATAGAACTATTTTCCGTAATTGGTTGTCAGAGTGGTTATGTAAACTAATGATACTTTTGGGTTGCCTATGAGAAAAAATGGATATCAAGGCAATTTTTATTTTGATGGAACTAGAAACTGAATAGTTAAACCTGGAAATTGAATGATAGACATTTAGAACACACAACGTATTTTAAATATTTTTGTATTTTATTGTTAACTGAGGAGGTAGTTTCTGTACGTCAAAAAACACTGACGAGAAAACAGATTTGTAAAGTTGGTAAATAAGATAAGAGAGGAACCAATTATACTAGAACTGGTAAAAATCTTACAAACAGACATAAATACGAACACCAATCTCATAATGAACCTATTTAATTTTATGCACACATATAAACTACCTAAGCTTTTTATTCCCCATCCTTATTTGGTGGGTTTCTAAACTTATTATCGTGGTCGATGCCAATGATCCACGAGGGTAACAGGCGTATGTAAAGCGAGTTCTACACTGATTATCGTCTTATTAAGCTTTGCATAAACGTCTTATAAAATCGCTTACTTGTAAGAAAAAGTGGAGTTTAACTATTCCCAGTTGACCAATTTTATACTGGTACTCAAGTTGACATAACAAAATAAGATAATCTTTAATTAAACTACGCATTGCACCTGCCAGTGCCTGGTTGACCATTCCATGTTCGAATGTAGACTTCTCTTGAATAAACATGAATAAATTTAAATAAAACTGATTATTTACCAGAAAACATGATTCTTAGACATTTTCATACGTCGATGAAACTTAACTTTGTAAAAAAAATAATGCACAACAATATCTCACTGTTATTATACGTATGCTTGGAAGGTCTCATGTCTCGTCTATTTTCAAAAGGTTTGGCTGCTAGTGAACCACCAAACAAGCACAATAACTGAACTAGTTATAGAGAGTTGGTAGTTAAGTGAGTCGATCGCTTCACTTATCTCGGAACTCTCATCAGCTCTGATGGCATGGACTATGGCCAACGAAGTCTCAGCACGGATACAGAAGGCTCCATTGGCTTTCGCCAACTTGCGTCACTTATGGCGTAGGCGAGATATCCGTCTGACAACCAAAGTACGAGTGTACTGCGCAACAGTTCGCTTCCTCCCACTATATGGCTGTGAAACATGGCCAGTAAGAGTAGAGGATATTCGCAGGTCGCTAGTATTCGATCACAGGCGTCTTCAAAGCATTGCCTCTGTATCCCGGAACGATCGAGTAAGCGATGCAGTTGTTAGGATACGAGTACTACGCAAGGATGGCAGATCAATAGATGAAGTATTGAAACTTCATCACTTGCAGTGGTTGGGACATATGTTACGAATACTCAACAACCAATTATCTCGTCGAGCAATGTTTTGTGGTGTAGGATTAAACTGGAAGAAAGCTAGCGGTGGCCAAACCAAAACATAGCACAGAACCATGAAGTCACTGACAACTGATTTGAGCCACGTTGGTAAATGTAGACTATGTGGTTGGGGTCCGTGAGATGACAGTAACCGATGGTTAGAGATCGTGAATGACATGGCTAGAAATTGTTTGCTATAAAGCAGATACATACATTCTTCGTCTTCTCTCAAATTCTAAATGGATTATACTCCTTGATAAAATATCTTTGAGCCATAATCTTCTCAATTACAGCTAATACTTCTACTACCTCTACCACTATGGAATGTGAGTCGACAATTGCAAATCTGTGCTAATTTGGTGTGGCAACTAGAACTGATGTACGTACGTACGAAGTTTTACGTTGTAGCTGTCTCACTAAGTGACGTCCGCGTGAAGACTAGTGATATTAATTAACTTTCGAAATGATAGGGGTTAAAACTATAGAAATAATGGCTTGAGACTGTCCGCGGGGCTCTTTATAAGACTTCTTAAACACTGAACATGATTATATGGAGTGAAATGAAATAAAGGCAGAATGAAAATTGAGGCAGACTGATTCGATATCAACTAGTGTTGATTGTTTTCCATATATGTAGTACATTGCCATAATGATGTATGGAATAATGGGAAGTAATTGACAATGATGACGGACGGCATTGAATTAGCAAAGAATAATAATAACTGTATATAAATATAAATATATATATATATATATATATTCTGGCCCTATTAGAATCATAGTGAACAAACTGCATGAAATGGTAGAATCAGAAATGACATAAATACAAGCACTTACCACCTATAAATCTGGCCACTGTCGAATAGTCCGAACATATTGGGAGAATTTTGTTAACAGTGTCTAATAAAGTTGGAGCTAAAAAGAGAAATTGAAACAAGCGTATATATTGAAAGCGAAGGAAGGCTACTACTAACGGCCCAAATAAAAAGATACAGTAGTAATGAGACAAATTAGATACTTGGTTGAATTTAAGACTGTTTGAGCAGGTTAGTCGATGATTACAGGTACGGTCTTACAATTATGACTGGATAAAAGTGGTATGAATATGAACTTGACAGACAGAGATCAGCCATATAAATAATTCTGGTGGCTGACTGGATTATGTGGACGTCAACATTTCAGGGGAAGCACGGAATACAGTGGACAGCTCGGACACAGCTAGACGATCCAGCCCTTCGATTTTAAACAGAGCAACAAATGCAAGAGAAGACGGCTAATGTAGCAGCAGCCTCCGCAGTGGTAGTTCCCAACATACACAAGGGAAGAAGCATGATCCTTAGATGCAACACAATATGCAGCAATAAAACCTCACATGACAGAGCTTCGGAAGATATGGTAACCTTTACACATTTGGACAACATCACTGATAAACAAGGGGCATCTAATGTAGTTGTGGAGACATGGATTGGTAAAGCAAGGACAGCTTTTCACTACTGTAGAACATGTGGAACCTAAAATACCTGTGAACCGACACCAAAGCCACAATTTTTAATACAAACGTCAAAACCGTTTTATGGTACGGAACGAAAAGTTATCGAAATACGATATTATCCATCATCAACAAGATGTAGATATCTATTAACAATTTTTTACGCAAGATACTTCAGATCCGTTGGCCAGGCACCATCAGCAACAACTTACTGTATGAGAGAACAGGTCAGATTGCAGCTGAGGACGAAATTAAGAAAAAGCGATAACGGTGGATGGGACACACATTGCGGAAATCACCGAATCGCATCACGAAGCAAGCCCCAACTTGGAATCCAAAAGAAAACAGGAGAATCAAATAATATATTACTCCGAGAATTCGAAGGCCCAGGAAAGAGTAGGCTAGAGAATGATGGTTGGTGGCCTATGCTCCTTTATGGGTAACAGGAGTAAGTAAGTAAAGTGAATTGATAACTAATAGGAAATAGGAAAGAAAAAAGTTGCATAATCGACCATTGAATGATCGCAAAGTTGCACTTTAGTTAGGAAGACAATCAAGGTAGACGTCCTTTATCTAAAAGGTATATCTTATGTTAGAAATGTAATGGGAAACTAAGTTAAGATTAGCACATTAATTTCAGTTATTAGTTGCAGTGAAATCGTGACAATGTTGTAAGTAAAAACTTTAAGACTGTTTCCGAGCATCTAATCGGATAAGTATGGACAAGTGGTTTAGGGAAGTCAGAGAGATTGTTTCAAGGTCACCCGTAAGTCAGAAGTACAAACGAGGCATCACAACAGAATATCAACTACTCACTTAGCTAAGGTCATTGCTTCCATATCAGTGACACATATAATTATGAGTCATGTACAAATTATTTGATTCTGTATTAACGCCTCCTTTCTCTTGAACAGCAGCTCAGGTGAGCGTTTAGGCAGTGTATATACTGTAACTGTATCAGGCTCAAGGATTACAATAGCCCAAAGTAAGGTTATAATTGATTCGCTATGAGAACATAGTGATTACTTTTGGGATCGAAACAAAACAGTTAGAAAACTCTAGATTTTATAAGTTTCTACTAAATCCACTCCCGTGCGTTTTAAATATGATGAGGAGACAATGAAACAGACAAACGAGAAGTTTGTGCGATGACTGTGATAGTGGGCAAAGAACTCAAAGGGAAAATCGGGAGTGTAGCGACTAGACAAACATCAGAAGAGTCTAAGTTGGTCCTGGTTAACACCGCTATTGTGAAATATGTCATGCAGTTCTAGGTGACTTTCAGAATGTAATCATAATAGATTCCCTCAGATTCTGAAATAACCATGCATAACGGGCTGAGTGCTAGTTACAGTTTTCGATCTGAAGAATCCACTACACTTGGTCAAGTGGTAGATCCTAAAGTAATCTATTCTTGGAAGAAATAATGGGCAAATCACACAGCTATTTGTAATAATTCACCCATACTATTGTTAAAGAAATATGAGAAACAGTTTTTTGACGGTTCTCAATCTGAAATTATTTGATTGTTTACGAATAGTGAGGAAACAATTTTACTTACAGAAAACCATTGAGAATGTGTCAAATTATTAGCTTTTAATAAACATCCTACTTGACTTTCAAAAGGATATTTGTGAAATTTGAAAGCCAAAGATACTGAAAGGAACTCCTCTGTTTTTTGTTAATATAACAGAATACCAGTGCAATAAACGTTTAAATATAGTTGGACATAGTATATTAAGTCTTTCGGTAAGCGTAAAACTGATCAGATAACTCGTTGTTAGTCACATTAGCTATAAAACATAAGGTAATTAAAAATTTCTGTTAAATTTGATGAATGTCATTAACTATGGCTTTTGTTCATTAAATGACTACATAAACGTAAAACAAACGTACTCATTTTTTCATCCACTTTAAAACACCGGACTGCGTAACGATTCGATAAAGGGAGAGGTTTGATATAAACTCCTTGGTTACCCTGAAATGTTTAAGGAAGTTTAAAGGCAATTTAATTGCGACAAAACAAAGTAATAGAGCTGTCTAACGTGGAATGAACAGACCTATTATTTATGGTTATAAAACACGAATAAACTAAGAAAAAATTTACTTGTAAACACTGTAGTAGATCGCTAACAACAGCGTACTCTTGGACAGCATTTGAAAGGGACTCGATGGGAAGTTGCTGAAAAGACTTGAGAGAAAAGGAAACGAGTAAAACGTGTCAGTTAGTAGACAGCGGTTTTTTATACACAAATAAAAATCTTAGGCTAAATATTGTAGTACATAGTAAATCTAAACCTAAAATACTTAGACTATTAGAAAACCGTCAAAAAATAGCAAAATGTCTACACATCGACACTCGGAAATTGAATATTTTAATAGAAGTAAAACCACAGCTAGCACTACGGCGTTCATTAAATTAATTTATGAACTCACACTGTATTTTTACTATGATTCGTGTACAGTGACAATTATGTAGTTCATAAATCCTAATCAATATAACTGATATATGACAAACTAACTTAAGTGTATTTTTAAATCTACTGGGGTTACCATGAACGAGGCTTTCGTTATAAAACTAAGCTTTTTACTCCAGTTAGCGAGGCAGAGAGAAGGATAACAGTCTCATCCATTGTACTGAAGTCAGGGATGCCAAATATTAGCTTAGTGAAAGAGCGTATCACAAACCGAAATTGGATATGCAACCGATGACATATCAATGAAATTAACCCTTTACTCAGTTGTCACACACTCCTCATTTTTGACCTTTATTTAGTCGAAATATAATGCCCAAGACTTTATACAACGTATTAGTTTAATCTCTTATGCATTCAGGAAATAATATCAAAGGATCAAATCCTGAAAAAGGATATAATTACGATGAATTTAGGATCTTAAATGACGAGCGAAACTTTACAAATAAGAAGAGCCATGTCGTTCAAGGTCTCAAACCATCAGTTACTAACATCTCACGAACCCAAACCAGGTTATTAAAAAGTGTATGAAGGATTTGATTGTTAGCAATTTGATCTTGTGCTGTTACTGGCATGAGAGAGGATGTCACTTCCCGGAGGCCCACGCCGTGGAAGGGTTTCTAGAGGAACCTGAAGAGAAAGTTAAATTAGAGTTGCTCTCAGAGACCTGGGAGCGTGACCGTAAAGCACAAGCGACAACTGCTTGATGCCGGTGACACCCGGCATAGTGTTAGCTCCGCTCTTGTTTAAAAGGCCTTACCGCCGGAGACGGAAATCTGAGGTAAGGTGAGGAGGGACATTTTCAGGGTTGACCTTTATTAACCACTTTCTTTCTCGTGAAAAAGGTGCATCGCTGCAGATGCTGGGTGTGTAAGGGAAACACTTCACTGTTGTCACACCTCTCTATAGTCGGCAGTACAACAGCCATCAAACCTCGACTTGCCTGGTATGGTATGACCTAAAGGAACACATGTTCCAGCCAATATAGCTCAGTTTGGTCATCACAATAGTCAAACCCTAACACGACATCAAGATAGGAGGTACGGTCGACACTACTGCAAGTATGAAACGGTACAACAATATTTTGACACAAGAACTTGTTTTCTGAAGTCAGACTGATGTAGCGGTACTATGAAGTGAAATACGACAAAATGGAGTCTACAAAACTTGACTCAGTTGTGTTCGCACCAATGACCACAATGTGTAGCAGACCGTTTTCACAAACGCCTACTGATTCCTAAAACAATTTGCAAGAACCACGGGTACATTTAAATGAAATATATGTCTATTGTTATCACTGCGAAAATCTGTGGCTCATAACACGACAATAAATGTGAATTATGGGGTTGTGAAGAATGTCAAGTTTTTTTTTGAAGCCATGAATCGATCAATGTTAGACCACCATTAGAAACCTGGAAGCACTGCTGAGGAGTCTCATACCAGGACGAAACGGCCGTCCCGTGCTTCCAGGTTTCTAATGGTGGTCCAACATTGATCGATTCATGGTTTCAAAAAAAATATGTGTGAAAGCATATTAGTCGGAACTAGTTTTGAAAAAATCGAATGAACCAGTTATCAACTTCAGAACAATTCGAAACCAAGGATATTGTTAGTCCAAAGCAATTCCGATGAATATACTCCACTATACAACTTTAGGACAAACAGATGAGACATAGCCTATTTGTGTTTCTATGAAACAATTTTAGTCACTTTTGATAAATAAATTCATTTTAACACACAAGGAAAAGGGAACCCTTGAAATCTAAGATATGGTTTAACATAATAGTTTTAAAACTTAATCATTGCTCAAAGAAAAAATTAAGAATAAAAACTTATCCCAACACAGGTTACTTTATTAAAAATGACTATGCAAGCTGACAGTGAGAAGGTATTTGTAACACATTTCAAATACTTCATTCAATAACACTTAACAATTGGATATCCGGACTACCATGTTTAGTTGGTACTCCACACTGAACACCAGTATCCCTTATTAAAGAAAAATAATAGATTAAACGCAAACTTCTTCGGAGCAGCTGAGGAAATAGTGAAACACCGCCTTAATGTAATAAGTATATAAGGTCACATTTTCATTATCACCAAATTGTCTAATTTTTGTCTATAATGACACCAAAATGTTTAACTTTCGTCAATACTGGCCAGCCAGACAGTTTATTTCCTTGAGATAAGGCGCATTCTAAGACGTATTCCTTCAAAATTTAACGATTTGAACTCTATAATGGGGCAATGCCAGAATAATTCACACAACCAATAAAATAATGAAGCTATACACGATAGACATAACCTAGATATGCAGCGGAGGTAGTCAAAAAAATTTATGACTCCAAATAAATCAACCACCATCGAGCCAGCATACAACAAAAGGGCAGCATCTAAAATACAAAAGCACTCAGGTCACTTCATTTGATTCATAGTTATTCAGGGTAGAAATTCACGTGCTGCATACAAATAAAGTGTTCGATGGGTCGATTGCTTGAAAATCCAACAGGCTGGTTAGAGCTGGTCATCATTTATTAATACAGTGAATTTTCTTCAAGAGACTAAACAAAATTTCAAGGTTTCGAATCCCTATTAGGGCATTTAATGTGATCATAAACACGCGAATCATTAAATAAAAACTAACGCTCTAAGACTCACTTCTGAATTAGGTGGTATCGACAAAAAATCATCCCAAAGGGTTTCACGTGAGTATAACCACTCTGGATGAATAGAAAATGTTGGAAGTTGAACTGAGTTGTTAGAAATCAACTTTTTAGATGTATTCTTAGGAGCCTGAACAAATGAACTGGGATGTACGCCCGGACCACATGCTGAAAACAACGATAGCTCATCCGAAGCACCAAACATAACTCGCAGATGATCGTTTCTGACTTGCTGAGATGAACTAGATCCTAGTGTACAAGATTCGGCATTCACATGTTGAAGGTGAGTGACATCCTGAAAGATATTTACCATATTTAAAAAAGGATTCGATGAATAAAAAACACCATGTAGAACATACGAGTGGAAAGGGTTTACGGAACTTAGAAAGGTATCATAGTTAAGACATAATTGACACTGAATGGTTCTCAGCCAACCAAAACTCGGATACTGTGGACAGCTAGCTGTTGGAAAAAATGGAAAGAACCTTAACGAATTCAATTACCAGAATCTCAAAACCGCTGTATGATAAAAAACTTGGCAAACTGAACACATTGCTCTTGTCGTAAAAGACGACAGGTGGAGTATCCGCGACCTCAAATTACCTAGTAGTCATGCATCTGACATAACCCCCGACCGTAGCTGCTACCTTGGCGTGGAAGAAAGCTAGGGGCGGCCACACCAAAACATGGCACAAATCCATGAAGTCACTGACAAGTGGACTGAGTTATGTTGGTAGATGTAGGCTACCTGGTTGGGGTCCGCGAGACGATAGCCACCGACGGTTAGAGACCTTGAATGACATGGCTCAGAATCATTCGCAATGGCGCATCCACTCTTTGTGTCCTATGAAATTCTAAGCTTCTGAATTCCTCATAATCTTTACCTTTCTCATTCTAAATCTATCTTACTGAATTATACTTCTCGAATCATATCTTCGCTCCCTAATCTTCTCCATTACTGCTAATGCTTCTATGATTGCTATCACTGTTGGATTTGAACTGACAGTTGCGTCTCTGTTTTGATAGGGCATGGCAACCTGAACTGATGTACTTACGTACGAAGTTCGGCGTTGTGTCGGTCTATCTGTCTATCTGACATAACCTAGTTTGTATTCGATAACAGAGAAAATACGAAGAAATTCAAAATCGTTCACATACCTAGAACTCACTGTTATTTGCAAACTAAGGTTGATTACAAGTGAGTGAAAAAACTAATCTCCAGTAGAGATAATGGATACCTAATCAGTTACAGTTAGGAAGAGACAGGAGACTAGGTGCCTTGTGCTCTTATTTAGTGAGACTTTTTTTCGAATGCATTGATATATGGAGATTCAATCAGGTGCTGAGATAGAGTCCCAGTAATTGACGGTTCGGTGGATAAGTCAATGGTCAGTCAGTCAGTGACAACGTAGATCTTTGTACGTGCGTACACCTTAATCCAGAGGATTAGGCTTTGGGAGAAGCTAAAGAATGGATGCAAGTCATTAGTCAGCTGATAAGTGGTTCACTTTGAAACTTTACAGTACTCGTAAATTCTTTGTTTTAAAAGCACGAAAAAAGAGGGTGTGCTAGGAAAAAGTTAAGGTTTGCGATAAAATCGCCTCCGATTCACCAATATGACAATGGACACAAGCATGGTTTGTCGCCGAATATTGGATGATAAAGGACACTTGAAGATGGCACATGAGAAATAACGGAAGAACACCAAAACAAATTTAAAAACCCTACCACAGGAAAAGTTAAGGAGAGCAGAAAGCTTGTGAGTTTATATAACCAGAAAAGTACTTGAAATAGTATTATAAAAGATCTTCAGCGTTACACACAAATAACCAAAATATTTCGAATGTACTACTTATTATCTATTCACAAATGTAAAGTATATAGCAGAGCCATTAGAGGAAAAGAACTGAGAAACAGGTTATGTGATGTGAGCTTACCTTTCCGCCAACGGAAACACTCGAGACTTTGCCCTGTGAAAAAGGTTTGGTAGTCAGATGAGGATTCTCTAAATTTCTGAGTACAGTTTGGTCCGACTTCAGCTTTGATAAAAGATAAACAGTGGCTGAGAGTTCTCTGATACTAAAATGTCCGATAAAAATAAGTATTGTACCAACTTTCTAGGCTTTAGCTCCTCATACCGACGTAGAAATGCATCTTGTTGTGGGTTGTCATCGCAAAGTCTAGAAACTGAATCATGAATATTATACTAATTCATTATTTCGGTAGAATTTTTTACGTGAATGTCAGACGAACTACCAATGCTCTTTTCAAGCCTATCTGCGAATGAATAAACATTCGGATCATACATTAAATCAACACTGTTAGGAGTAAGTGACAAATACGGACTACAAACCCAAACATCTTGGACAAAGCGTAAACATGATGTCGAATAGAATTTTTGGTAGATTCAGAACCCGCCATGTCGCAGGAATTGATTCGGCGCTGAAGCAAAAATTCAATATTGACCTCTGCTTCAAGGACAAGGTAGCTGATAATTTAGATTAAATGAAACTATTAAGATGACTTGGACGGTTCCGGTCTAGCAGTAAGGTGCTCTCTGTACTATGGTAACATACAGAATCTAGATGCAGTTAGTGTGAAGGATTTTTTATCTATTAATCCTTGTTTTCACTCACCTCTTTGGTTGCATTGCATAAATGCTTTCTCTACTCATGCTAGTGAATGACGGTACTGCTGTGCCAAACTTCAAGTTCTGAACAAGGAACATGTATTATGTATTTAGAATATATACGATTTGACTGAATCTCTCTTCTCACGAAAAACATTTGACAAACAATAGCCGTACTTACTGATAACGACAATTCCATATGTTGAATGGAAGGCAAAATGAAGGGATGCAATCCACCTATGGCCATCGTACGAAGACTCATTAAAATTCTCTCATTAAAATATGTCCAAAGTTGATATTTTATCAAGCCATATCGAGGACTACTTTGAAAAAATTTACCCCAACATTTACCTCGACCTCCTCAGCGATTAGACCGGAACTCGTAATTGAGAATAGTATTTCCGATATAATTTTCGACATTCAACCCAGTGATTTGCCATGCCTTGATGGGTTACACTGTGACCTCTACCATCCCTCTCAGGAATTACTCAAAAACCACTTACATAATTGTTCGACGTTTCCCATACCCAAACATGAATCTCCACTGATTGGAAGAATTCCATCCTTAGTCCTATTTTTACTTGTGGAAATTGATAGGTAATCTCTGGCTACCAGTCTGTCAGTCTAGCTAGCGGAGGATTTAAAGTTAATCCTGTCTTGCAGTTATCAATCTTACATAGCGTTTTCTACTTGAGAAGTGGTCTACAACTGTTGAAATCGAACACTCAACAACATCATAAGTCTTTTCAGATCCAATGGACTACATACTTTGTTGTGGCATACAAACACTTTTCGCAGAATTTGGGTCCACTGCTTTCCATAATCTACATCAACAACATATGCAGTTGTTTCAACACTATTAAAACCTACCTCTATACGGATGACCTAAAAGTGATTTATCAAACTAGCAAATCTGACTTAGGAAACTTGTTGCACACAATCCAGCACGAACTCAATACTGTAGATATCTGGTGTAAGCAATGGAACCTTGAACTTAATACTGAGAAGTGTGGCTGGATGTGTTTCGGAGACGCTGCTCCCAAATTAGATCTCATTCTCACCAGGAATGTTTTGCCCAAATTCACATCCGTAACTGATCTTGGAGTGCATTATTCGCACAGCCTTCACTTCTCCGAAACTCCGCCAGTAGAACCTTCGGGGCTACTGCCGGTCCCAAGCCCGGGTAAAGGAGGAGGGTTGGACATGGGGTTGGCGACCCCATTCCGTCAAAAACTAACTTGCCAAAAAAACGCTAACCAGAAAAAATAACTCAAACCATTTTAACTCTGCCCTGGGAGTTGGAAGAAGAATTATGACGTCTCGTGATGAAAGCCGAGTTCCCTCGGAAGTCACGGGGCTGATGCCTCTTCTGACAACCAGAGCAACCATTTTTTTAGGTACATGGGACGTTCGTACATTGTGGGAGACTGGAAGACTATTTCAAGTTGCGGCAGAAATGAGAAGATACAACCTCGAGGTGCTTGGAATCAGTGAAACACATTGGACACAAGTAGGACAACTGAGACTAGCTTCAGGGGAACTGCTGTTATACTCTGGTCATGAAGAGGAAAATGCTTCACATACACAAGGAGTTGCATTGATGCTGTCTAAACATGCACAAAAGGCACTGATAGGATGGGAATCTCATGGACCCAGGATCATTAAAGCATCCTTCAAAACAAAGAAAGAGGACATTACAATGAACGTCATCCAATGTTATGCACCTACCAACGACTACAATGACGACGACAAAGATCAATTCTACGAAAGGCTGCAGTCAATCGTCGAGAAATGTTCACCAAAGGATTTGACGATTCTTATGGGAGACCTGAATGCCAAGGTTGGAATGGACAACACTGGATATGAAGACATCATGGGACGACATGGACTGGGAGAAAGAAACGAAAACGGTGAGAGATTTGCAAACCTATGTGCCTTCAACAAACTGGTCATCGGTGGCACAATATTCCCGCACAAACGCATTCACAAAGCCACATGGATTTCACCGGATCACACTACTCAAAACCAGATTGATCATATCTGTATCAACAAAACGTTCAGAAGGACTATGGAGGATGTGAGAACCAGGAGAGGAGCTGATGTAGCCTTAGATCACCATTTGCTAATCGCCAAAGTGAAACTGAAACTAAAGAAGCACTGGACAACGGGACAGACAACATCACACAAGTTTAATACAGCCTTTCTTCGGGATGCTGTAAAGCTCAATGAATTCAAGATAGCCCTCACCAATAGGTTCCAGGCCTTTCAGGATCTACACAATGGAGAGGACACAACATTGGAGAAAAATTGGAAAGGGATTAAGGAGGCAATCACTTCAACATGTCAGGAGGTCCTTGGTCGCAAGAAGCAGCATCATAAGGAATGGATCTCTGTTGATACTCTCGCAAAAATTGAAGAAAGGAGGAACAAGAAAGCAGCAATCAATGTCAGCCGAACAAGAGCGGAGAAAGTTACCGCACAGGCTGCATATACAGAAGCAAACAGGGAAGTGAAGAAGAGCATCAGAGCTGACAAACGAAAATACGTGGAAGATCTAGCAACGACGGCGGAAAAGGCTGCAAGAGACGGAAACTTGAGACAATTGTATGAAACTACAAAGAAGCTCGCCGGGAACTATCGTAAACCAGAACGACCAGTGAAAAACAAGGAAGGCAAAGTAATCAGCAACACTGAACAACAGCGAAATAGGTGGGTAGAGCACTTTAAGGAACTATTGAATCGACAAGCTCCAATGAGCACACCCAACATCGAAGCAGCATCCACGGACCTCCCAATTAATATTGGCGCACCTACGATTGAGGAGATCAGTATGGCCATCAGACAAATCAAGAACGGCAAAGCAGCAGGACCAGACAACATTCCAGCAGAGGCAATGAAAGCAGATGTAGAAGCAACCGCGAAAATATTTCACATCCTCTTCAAGAAGATTTGGGATGAGGAACAAGTACCATCAGACTGGAAGGAAGGATACCTGATCAAAATACCAAAGAAAGGCGATCTCAGCAAGTGTGAGAACTACAGAGGCATCACTCTTCTTTCAATACCAGGCAAAGTCTTCAACAGGGTATTGTTAAACAGAATGAAGGACTTCGTAGACGCTCAACTTCGAGATCAACAGGCCGGATTTCGTAAGGATCGATCGTGTACTGACAAAATTGCTACATTACGGATCATTGTGGAACAATCAATTGAATGGAACTCACCACTCTACATCAACTTCATCGACTACGAGAAAGCATTCGATAGCGTGGACAGGAAAACACTGTGGACTCTTCTTCGACACTACGGGGTGCCTGAGAAAATAGTCAACATCATACGGAACTCTTATGATGGATTCAACTGCAAAATCGTGCACGCAGGACAGCTAACCGACTCTTTCGAGGTAAAGACCGGTGTGAGGCAAGGTTGCTTACTCTCACCCTTTCTCTTTCTCCTGGTCATCGACTGGATTATGAAAAAGTCAACAGCTGGAGGGAAGCACGGTATCAACTGGACAGTTAGGACGCAGCTGGACGATCTGGACATCGCAGATGACCTGGCTCTTCTATCACACACTCAACAACAAATGCAAGAGAAGACGACGAGTGTAGCAGCAGCCTCTGCAGCAGTAGGTCTCAACATACATAAAGGAAAGAGCAAAATTCTCCGATGCAACACAACATGCACCAATCAAATCACTCTTGATGGAGATGCCTTGGAGGACGTTAACACCTTTACATATCTGGGCAGCATCATCGACAATCAAGGTGGATCGGATGCAGATGTGAGGGCACGGATTGGCAAAGCAAGGGCTGCATTTCAACAGTTGAAAAATATCTGGAACTCCAAACAGATATCAATCAACACCAAAATAAGGATTTTCAATACAAATGTGAAGACAGTTCTAATGTATGGAGCGGAAACATGGAGAACTACCAAAGCCATCATCCAGAGGATACAAGTATTTATTAACAGCTGTCTACGTAAAATACTTCGTATTCGTTGGCCAGACACCATCAGCAACAACGAACTGTGGGAGAGAACAAGTCAGATTCCAGTGGAGGATGAAATCAGGAAGAAGCGGTGGAAGTGGATAGGACACACTCTACGATCTTTTTACTCTAGTTCAACGGTATATATTAACTCATCTCTTACAACTTCTCCTCGGTTATTCTTATTTTAGTAATTTTCGCTGTAGTTTTTGGCTTCATAATTCCAAACAGACATTGTGCCTATAGTAACACAACTCTGCTTACAAATAATTCCACAAAGATGTCACGTTTATCTAAAAAGCACTTGATTTCACCTGTCGAATATAACATCTGTAAAAGATCCAAATCAGCTACTAAATTCGATAAAATCAAACGTAAGAACATTGCTCCATCCGTATCTTATTCTGATCTCCCCACTGGCTCAATAGAATCTTACCGTGAACTTGTAAACGACTTCTCTTCACCGTGTATCCCGCTCGTTGATATAAGCACAACTCACCTCCTTCCGAGTGACTCGACACCATCCACAACTTCTTGTGTTCCATCTGAAATAGACTCCAGTGAGCACTTGGTAGAAAGTGTGGCTGGTCTTAAACATTTGACGAGCCCGCAAGAGGATCGAATTCATAGCAATCCGAAAAATTTTTCTAGGCCTTTTTGCCATAGGATATCCAGTATTGTTGATCTGGACTGTTCACTTTCTGATATGTTCATAACTTCGGATGACTTTACGCAGACGGAGCAACCGCAAAACACTTGTAGCAAGTCTGTTCATCATCCTATTCGCCTTAACAGCTGTG